TGAACCAGTAACACCTAGCTTCAGTACACAGTAAACCAGTAACACCTAGCTTCAGTACACAGTGAACCAGTAACATACTTCAGTGCACAGTGAACCAGTAACACCTAGCTTCAGTACACAGTGAACCAGTAACACCTAGCTTCAGTACACAGTGAACCAGTAACACCTAGCTTCAGTACACAGTAAACCAGTAACACCTAGCTTCAGTACACAGTGAACCAGTAACATACTTCAGTGCACAGTGAACCAGTACGTAACACCTAGCTTCTGTGAACCAGTCATAATTGCCCTGATGAAGATGACAGATGGTCATCAAAACGTCAGCTCTTGTTAAACAAGTGGATGTGAATAAAGAACTTTGGATGTCCACAGTCAGTACCATGTATATCACTACATGTAACCTTACTGATGTTTCTTCCCTTGTATGTTTGTACAGAACCAGATCAAACTTGAGATCCAGTACGCCTGTTGGTCAGTACCATACATGACGTTCCCCACTTGTGTTATGTTCTTGCTGGAGGTACGAGGGTACAGCAAGCTGTATGACGACATCAGTGACACAAGTTTGGGTATGTCTCTTCTTCATATACTTAACCCTTAGCACACTGAAGTAACCATTCAGTTGCTAATTCTCTGCCTGTTATGCGATTAGACAGTAGGAAGAGGGTTAAGATTTGAACAGTGTTCAAGGTCCAGGGTCTTAGCCTGGTTACCAAACCTAAATAGCTCCCAAATCCTACATTTTGTACATCCTACTTGTGGAGAGGATGTAGTATTTGGGAGCTATAATTTGGGGAGAGGATGTAGGACTCAGGAGCTATAATAACTTTGGTAACCAGGCTACCAGGGTCTGGTGTTGTAGCTTGCACAATGACATGAAGTCTTTATGACTGTATCAACAGATGGAAAAAACTAACAACTAGGAAGAATTGGAGCCAAAATACATGTATGAACATAGGATGTAAAGCCAGAGGTTTTGTGTTTGAGAAAAGCCACACCTCGAGCATATTAAAGTTTCCTTTAAACTCATTGGACTGAGTAGGGGTCCTTCCTGGTGTGAGTGGTTCAAACCTTACAGTCCAGTCTTACACAGCTCATGCCTACTAGTACTGTACAAAACTGGTGTGTTACACCTCATGGCAGTTTACCGGTTATGCCAAACAAAACATTTTCCTAACATTTCTATTCTGTGTTGTCCCTTCCCAGGTTACCTGTCCCTCGTGCGTGACGCCATCTTGTTTCTGTTCTTCACGGACATGATGATCTACTGGATCCACCGCGGCCTGCATCACCGCCTGCTGTACAAAACTCTACACAAGCCTCACCACAAGTGGAAGGTAAGGACGAGGAAAAAAATGTTGTGTTTCCTGTTTCCCGACTGACCCTAGCCTTTTTTGTGTGGACCCCTGCAAGCGACATGAATTTTTTAAGCGATTGCCCCTTTCTAGCTCCATGATCTAACACCTCAGTGATGAAATGTTGTACAATCAGTTTTTCAACATTTTGACAATTATATTTTCACTGTTAAAACAGTGAAAATATTTGACAGCAAAGTCATCCAACCTAAACCCTACATTTCCAACATTTAAAGTTCAATGTTTTTGAAAACTGTGGTCTGGAAACGGTTTTAAAATATGCCTAAAAGAAGGTTGAGATAGTTAGGTCACGTTCAAAGAAGATCCCCAGGTTCTTTTGTATACATGGCCTACCACCAGCACCAAATAGTTTTAAGGTACTGGATGGTCTCTCAAGGTTGCTGAACAAAAGGCTAAGGACTGTGCTGCCTGGCAGGAAAAAATGATGTGCCAGCCCTGGCCTAAGCATAGAACCTTTTTTCACCTCCTCACCCATCCGCCTATAGACATTCTCGTGTGCTAGTTGTCAGTCTTGGGATCAAGTCAGTCCATGCCACCCTGTCCTATGTCAGGAGTATCACTTCCTCAAAGTCCCTCTGCTCTCTCTCTCTCTGTAATCTCTCGGATCTTTCTTGGTCTGCCAGGTGGTCTTTTCTTCTTGGGTTTCCGTGTCCCTCTCCTCTGGCATTCTCAGTATGTGCCCAAACCATTTAAACTGGTTTCAAACCCGGATAGAACCCCTGGACTAAAACTTCTGCTTGGATAGTCTGCTTTTACACAACCGACATTTCAGTAACTGTCTGTCACCTAGCTCAGTGACTTACCAACCTGATGAAACTATTCATGGCTCTGCTTGTAGAGTATATTGATAGTATCAATGATACTCTACTTCTATGTTTCAGGTCCCCACCCCGTTTGCCAGCCATGCGTTCCACCCTCTGGACGGTTTCGCCCAGTCGTTTCCGTACCACCTCTACCCTTTCCTCTTCCCTCTCCACAAGGGCCTGTACCTCGGGCTCTTCATCTTTGTCAACATCTGGACTGTCTCAATCCATGATGGCGACTTCCGTGTCCCGGATGCGCTCAAACCGATCGTGAACGGCTCGGCGCACCACACGGATCACCACCTGTTCTTCGACTACAACTACGGGCAGTTCTTCACGCTGTGGGATCGGATCGGCGGGTCGTTCCGCACGCCCTCCGCGTGGGAGGGAAAAGCGCCGATCGACGACATTAACAGAATGGGAGTTAAGGCTAAACGGGGCTAGATTTTAGAGTGAAACTCATCTGTGTTGATATGATACAATTTTAAAAACTCTTGATCTAACACAAGAAAAAACAACAGAATTTGAGGGCATCTACCTGATGAATTTGTGTTGGATCAAGTTATCAATACCTCAAGTATGACTTGAGTTTGTCTCAAGTAATGTATGAAGTGTTTACATGGTAATTTACCTGGATGGAGGCCTGGCTTGTATTAGCCAAAAAAGGGTATATCACACCCTACAAGGAGTGGTAACCGTGACCAAGATGGTCGACCAATTGTTTGAAGTATGCTTTTGTGAGGAGAACCCATTTTGATAATGTAAAGTATATGGTTCCCCATCCAAGAATAGTTTACTTAAAGTATATTGGGTTTGTAAAATATATTGGGTTTAAGACAAAACAGGCTGAGAAAGATATATCTCTGTCAAAGGCACCCTTGCTGCAGATGAGCATGGGAACATTGCAGCTTCACACACGCACACACACACACACACACACACACACACACACACACACACACACACACACACACACACACACACACACACACACACACACACACACACACACACATACACTATTTCTCTCAATCAAGCTCTTGTGAGCTTCTTTCTGAGCCACTAGTTCAACTTCAATTGTTCTGTAATAATACATTGCGCCCCATTGTATTGTGCAGATTTTTTTTATTCCATGCATTTCAATGTCATTGGTGCAATTTTTTCTTCCTGTCAAGTACATACATTGAGCTATGACTGAACATACTAGGTGACCGTGTGCCATCAAAAAGAATATATTGAAATTCCTCAAAGGAAAGTATGTGTGGTCTAAGATGTAACAAGAGGTTTGCAGAAATTAAGGTCAAAAGATCCTGACAGCAACACAACATGACATTTTGTAAATGATACCAATAAGATAGAATACACAATTGTATAGGAATATATAAAGTGTAAATTTGATATGTGTGCTGTGTGTGGAATGTAGTCTTGCAACATTTCAAACGAACCCAGTATTTTGAAGGTTTGTCCTCTGCATGACTTGTTTCTACATCTAAAAAAATCATAGATTTTACAATGTATAATATAAATGTATATAAATATTACTGATAAAACCTAATGAAGCATCAGTGCATTCTAACATATCATCAAGTTCATGCTCCATGTAACAAAGAATACTTATCATAATGTCTACTTAAAGAGATAAGAGTCACAAAAAATATAGATCAATACAAGATAAAGTTCAAATGCCCATCTCCATGTGATATTGTGAAACTGCTCATTTTTTCTTGCTTTACATTTAATCGAAACGATTTTACTCCAAGCAAGATACTCAGTGTTTACAAGTGCAGAAAAATTAATGCCCAGATGTTTCCATTGGGCAACACCATTAAAAAAAGCCCATCTGCTTCAAAATAAATAAGAAAAAGTAAGGTTGAGCCCACCTTCAACCTAGTCTGACTACATCAGGTTTCTAGCAGCCCTTCCGCCAGTGAAATACTTGGCCTGACTACATCATAGCTCTAGCCTCTAGAAGCTTAATAGCCAATCTTTTCATCCAACAAATTAATCAGAACCCTTTGGTACCTTTCTAAGAACACCGTTGTTTACGTTTCAAGATGTAAGAAGTTCAAGTAGGTGGTCTGAGAAGCGATTCATGTAGTAGTCGTCAAAGCTGGGTCTGTCGCCTACAGGTAGGGACGTCCTGTATAGGAATGAAAGAAGTTACCATAAGTAAAAATAGGAATGTTGATAAGTGCAAATGTAAAGATCAGGAGACTTCGATGTTGATATTCAAGAAGTTAAAATGTCATTTGAAATCGTGTCAACAAATAGAATTTTTGTGTGAAATACCTGGAGTAACCTGGCAGAAAAATCGCTTTCGGGAGTTGCCCTCCTTGTTACACCATTTTGATTTGATCTGAGCGGCGTGGCGGCGGGAGGTAAGATCAACTGGATATCCTGAAGCCCAGAAGTTGAACTTCCCAAGTGCAGACCCGTCTATCCACTTCCACTGTCGTTCTTTGTGCCAGTACTTCAGACCGATCCAGTAGGAGCAATGCATCCCCGGCTGTTGTAAGTTGGCGAGGAAGTCGTTGGTCGCAGCGTCTCGGGGCATGGCAAGGGTGCCGCCATCTCCGATACAGATCTGGGCCGCTTCGCCGAAGGTCTTGCGTGTGTAGAAGGCTTTGAAGCAGGTTTCACGCCACTTCCTATAGCCAATAGGACAGGAGACTAGAAAGAAGAAAAAAAATAGACATTAACTTAATGTTGCAAGGTAAGGGAAAGTACATGAAAAGCTACTTAAGGATCAGACCTTTATACCATCAGTGGGAACTTTCGGTACTTGAGAAATCTTATTTGCAGACTGTGATTTTGGACAAGATGTGATTATCATGTTAGGTATTTTGTTAGGTATCATGTATTTTGTTTAATTATAAGAAGAGCGGCTAAGGCCGACAGGGCACTTCCAGTATAAATAAAGGCTATTGATCGATCAATTCTTAGCTCTTATGCTCCGTATGTAGACTTGCAATTGATGAATGAGACAGAAAATACGCTAGAAGGGCGACGCTATTTTCAACAAAATGCAGAATGTTTACCTTCTGGTCTAACAATCTTCATCTCTCTCACAAAGAGTAGCTATCTATCCATCTATCTATCTGTGTGTCATGATGTCCCCTTAACGAGGGCCTGCAAGCCCTTTTTCGTAAGGCGTAATCAGGCCGTTTTAGACTTCGTAATTCGTAGGCAGCCTCCGCAAAAATCAACGTAATTCGTAATTGGACATTAGCCGCAAATCGTAAAGTCGTAATCAGCTCTGAAACTCTAACGTAATTGGTAATAGGCGACGAAAATTTTGCGTAATTTGTAATCACTACCCCCCCCCTTGCAGGCCCTCCTTAACGTGGTTACGCCATGCATCATGTTTCAAATCATAGTTAGAGCTTTATAGTTAGAGGTTCGCAACTAGAAGTTGAGAAACTAGAAGTGAGGACTCACCTCCATTTAACACGGAACGTCCAGGTGCGTGCGGGACTCCGTGTGATCCAACAGGGACGACTGAGCTTCCTGGTGGACCTGGAGGGCCCATAAGCCCGGGAGGACCAGCCGGCCCCATCGGTCCAGGGGATCCTTTTTGTCCTGGAGGACAAGCCGGCCCCACCGGTCCAGCGCCTCCCCTTTCTCCTGGAGGACCAGCTGGTCCCATAGCTCCCTTTTCTCCCGGATGTCCAGGAGGTCCACGTGGCCCAAGAGCCTTAGAACCAGTAGGCCCCACAGGTCTAGTGGCTCCCCTTTCTCCCGGAGGACCAGCCGGTCCGATTTCTCCTTTTTCTCCAGGAGGTCCAGGGGGCCCAAGAGACACAGGACCAGTCGGCCCTACCTGTCCAGTGGCTCCCCTTTCCCCTGGAGGACCAGGAGGCCCCCCAGACCGGTGGTTCCCTGAAAAAAAAGACCCAATCTTCACTAAAAGTGTGATTCACGAGTATAGGTATTTTGAAGTAGCCAGGTCGATACTGAGTTAGTCTCTTGAAGAAGCCTTATGGTCATTCAACCTACCTAGAGTCTTTCTTAGGTCCCCTACAGTCTTTCTTAAGTCGTAGAGGATCTGCTCCAAGGATGCGGTTCGGTTTTGCTCGTTGTCCAGGTCTCGCTTCATGGCGTCAAAAGTTGTGGACAGTTGGGACATCTCCTAACGACATCAAAATACCCAACTTTAAGAAAAGAGAATTCAGAAAGCCAAGAAGAAAAAAAAATGGAAGAAAAACACTGAAAAAACACACGTGGGAACATGTTTACATAATAGTGGTTACCTGGTTATTGATGAATGTCACAGGTGCAAGTCCTACAGTCACCAGGCCCAGTAGCACGGCGCTGCTGGCGGCCAGACAGCTGCGGTGGGACCGGATGAAGCTACAAAGACCACGGCGGTCGCTTGTTCCACCCGGATACGTTCGGTCTGCAGAAAAAATGCCACTTTTCTCAAGTTTTCACACTGTTCGTCTTAAATTTTCTACTTTAGAAAATGCCACTTGGGCAAGGGCATAAAATCTATAAGGCGATATAAACCTAGCTTTCCTATCTAGAACTTAGCAATAGAAGGCTCTATGACTTAGACTTTTTCTGATGCACATTACTTTTAACTTTTATTTGTACTCAGGTTCTTGTGCCGTCTTCAGCCGACTTATGAATATAATTATTCATTACACGTATGCGACAACAGAGAATATCTGTCGGCAACTCACAGCAGCAAGAGTGGATTAAAATGCCTTTAACATGCATTTTAATCCACTCTTGCTGCTTTGATTCGCCGACGCATAATCGTGACTCGGAACCGCCTGGGCATCTAAACAGCTCGGCAGCCGCTGGCAGCCCCATATGACTGAAACACGAATATCACACACACACACACACACACACACACACACACACACACACACACATATATATATACATGGATGCAAATACATCTGGTCCTGTCCTCGGTGCTAAACACTATCCACACAGGAATCTCTTGATCTTGAAAAGTAACTGTCCAACACCCCTCTGTTGGGTCCTACCCTTGGTGCTGAACACTATCCGGACAGACAGACACGCACGCACGCACATCTATAGTTGCAAATACACCAGGTACTGTCCTTGGTACTGAACACTATCCACACACACACACACACACACACACACACACACACACACACACATACACACACACAAACCCACAGACACAGCTTAATGCATATGAATCAGGACCTGTCCTTGGTGCTGAAAGCTATCTAGACACTGACCAACATCGGCGGTCAGTTGGGCCCACAGTCGGCTTTAGCCCTAACGACCACCATAGAAATGTGTTAAAACAATGCTTATTGCTTTCTCAGTACGTACCAACTGAGAATTCGCTATTTAAGTCATAACTACGTAATTAAATAATAATAGTTACGTAGACTATGTAAATATTATAATGGATTTGCTGTAATCATGTTCTCAGAAACTACACGCAGCGACGCGTTCAGTTCGCGAAAAACACAAAAGTGGTTAACAAACAGTTACAGAAAACGTTGAATTAAGATGGCTCGCTACGTCTCATGCTCCTTAACTGACGGGAAACCATGAAAGCGCTATGTGTACCTGCAGACCTGAGCGTTGTATGATGTTTTAGCGATTCGTACGTGTGCGAAGACGTTTCTTGGTCTTCCTTAAGCTTGTCAGAAGCGCCGTTGCCATGGCGGACACGCCCGCGTGAACCACTCTGATGGACAGGAGAGGTCTGGGGCGGCGGCCCGCTTGTTTGGCGGTTGCCGGGCCCCGAACGAGGGATCCGGACTGGCTTTGCCTGCTCGGACATTTGTACTGTACTGGCAAACTACGTACAGGAGCACGGGGTTCTATACCCGAAATATACATAAACATAGAAAATATCAATCAGTCTGAAGACGTAAGGACTTTTGGTCCTTTGAAGAACAAAAAAACTGGCTTAGTATGAAGTGTTGCGAATGGAATTTTGTTTTTCTGCGTATAACAGACTAATTTTCAGGATAAAGAAACCAATCTTTGTTTGATGTGCAGAAAACAAAGTACCAGTAATCCTTTCATACAGAACTTCAGAGCAAGTGATTTGATTGCTTAGTTGTTGTGAGTGTTACAACCGTAGGACATATCATGGTTCCCTTTGCATGCTGGGAAAATAGAGAGCTCTGGGTAATGTAGTGGCATTTCAAATCGTTACCATAACAACATGCATACGCCTCACACGAGTTGTCATGTGTCACTTGGTCACAGGTTTGTCTGTATGCATTAGTGGCACTTATTTATTTGGAGCGGTGTTAGTCTAACTTCTGTTACAAAATTCAAAATTTTGCTGGAAGGGTAGGGGAGAACACACTGGAACATTCTGTCCAGGAAGACCAGCACCACATCGATTTTAGTGATAATGACTGAAGTTGAGATCCTTTTTTCCTTGAGTTTCATCAAGTTAATTATTTCTAGGATATAATGGCTAGATGCTGTCTCGTGTAATATCTGTGTATGGGTTTGGTAATATAATAGTATATTGGGATTAAGATAAAGCAGGGTGATAAATATGTATTTCTGTTGTAAAGGTCCTTTACCCCAGATGGTTAGGGGACACTTTTTAACTTCACATGGTCCATCCATATACAGAGAGTGCTACCAGTATAGCTTTTATTGTAATGAAATGATACAACGAAGCCCACTGTATTGTGCAGATCATTTTAATTCTGTGCCTTCGAATGCTATTGGTTCAATGTTTCCTTCTGAAAAGTTTTACAATGTACAAACATTGAGCCATGGCAGTGCACATGCTAGGTGACCCAATGATTTCAGTAAGAATGAAAATTCCTTAAATGAACATGATATGTTGTCTGGGAAGTAAGAAGTGGTTTGTAGAAGGTGGCATTATAACATCTAACAGCAACGCAAAAACCATAATGTCTTGTAAATGATAACATGAAATTAAAATACAAATAGGATTGTATACATTGCGAATTTTGAGGTACATTTGTGATTTGAAACAATTGAAAACGAACCCAGTCTCCTGTTGGATTACCCTCTTACTTGTCTCTACATCTGAAAAGTCAGAGACCTATAATATTTATATGAATATGAATATTACTGCTAAAACTTAATATAAAAGTAATAGTGTATTCTAACATGTCATCCAGATTATGCTCAATGTCATCAGAAAAATACTGATAATGATATGACATGAATTACATGAAAGTTTAGAACAAGATATGGCAAATATTATGTTTTTAAATTTCCATCTCGAGCTGATGTTGTGAAATTCTCAGTTATTGGTCATCTCAGATTTTTCCTTCATATTCTATTGCAACTTTGTTAATGAAGCAAGGTACTCAAGTGACCGTTTTCAAAATCATATCCAGTTGCTTGAGTAACTGTTTTTTTGGCGTATCTTATTACCTGGATGTCTAACCTTCATCGACGGAAGGTACTCAGTGTTTATACTCACTCACTCACTTACTCACTGGGTCGAGCTTCCCTCGGTTCCAATGGCTGCTTATACAGTGTTTATAAGTGCAGAAATATTAATGAAAAATCCATCTTCTTAGAAATAGATAACATGAAGAAAGGACGAGCACACTCTTCACCTCGTCTGACTACAATCAGGTTTCTAGCAGCCCTTCCACCCAGGTCACTAGCCTGAGTACATCACACTTCTAGCAGCCCTTCAACTGGTCAAGCCCTATTCTGACTACATCACACTTCTAGCAGCCCTTCAACTGGTCAAGCCCTATTCTGACTACATCACACTTCTAGCAGTCCTTCCACTGATTAAACCTCTAGTCTGACTACATCACACTTCTAGCAGCCATTCCTCTAGAAACCTTTTTGCTAAAGCAAGGTTTGCGCAAAGTTTGTAGGTGAAGAAACAATAATGAAAAGTTAATCTCTTTAGATCGAAATAAATAACATAAAGAAAGTACAGATCCAGTACACTCCTCACCTCGTCTGACTACAATCAGGTTTCTAGCAGATCTTCCACTAGTCAGGTCCCTAGCCTGACTGTGAGTACATCATGCTTTAATAGTTCTAACAGCCCTTCTACTGGCCAAGCCTATAGCCTGACTACATTACACTTCTAACAGCCCTTCCACTGGTCAAGGTCACTAGCCTGACTACATCACACTTCTAGAAGCCCTTTCACTAGTCAGGTCCCTAGCATCTCTACACCACACTTCTAGAAGACCTTCAACTGGTCAGGTCCCTAGGTCGACTACATCACACTTCTAACAGCCTTGTTCTAGAAACTTTGTTTCTTAAGCAATATACACAAAGTTTATAAGTGAAGAAAAATTAACGGAAAGTCAATCAATCTCCTTAGAAATAAATAACATGAAGAAAGTACAGGTCCAGCACACTCTTCACCTCGTCTGACTACAATCACATTTCTAGCAGCCCTTCCACCAGTCAGGCCCCTATCCTGACTTCACCACACTTCTAGCATCCCTTCCGTTGGTCTAGCGCCTAGCCTGACTACACCCTGTGACCACCACAGTTCTAACAGCCCTTCTACTGGTCAAGCCTATAGCCTGACTACACCATGCTTCTAGTAGTCCTTCCACTATTCTAGGACCCAGCCTGACTACAGCATGCTTCTAGTAGTTCTTCCACTGATCTAGCACCTAGCCTGACTACACCATGCTTCTATCAGTCCTTCCACTGATCTAGCACCCAGCCTGACTACACCATGCTTCTAGTAGTCCTGGTCAAGAATTAGAAGCTTAATAAAAGTTTATTGCTTTAATAGCCAACACCTGAATGTCAGCAGAACAGGGAACATATTTATCGTGTTTAATAATTATAAAAGAACTTTAAAAGAGAAATTCCCATGATAGTGAACCATGGGCTTTTATTGGATTAATTTTCAGTGGTATAGAATTCTGAGCTCCTATTGGTAGTTCTGGAAATGGGAATGGTTCTTTCATGCCAGGTTCTCTGCAATGAGGCCTAATCAGAACCTGATAGGGAGAGATTGTGTATCACTGGCTAACTGTTCATCCAACGAATTCATAAGTGTGCCCCAGGACACTTCGGTACCTTCCTTGCTAAGAACACCAGTGCCTAAGTTTCAAAGTTGCCTCCCCTTTCTTCCGGAGGTCAAGGCGACCCAAGAGACACAGCACCATCACCTTCGGTGAAGGTAAATCATAAATACACTCAGCTTTTCAAATGAGTGGAGGATTTTTCACCAACTGAAAGAAGCGGTGCGCATTTCGTCAAGAAAATGGCGATGAGAATTCAATGTTGATATTCAAGAAGTGAATGTTATCATCTGAAATGGTGTCAACAAACGGTGTTTTTGCGTGAAGTACCTGGAGTGACCTGGCAGATAGAACTTTGTATGCGGGTCACGCCTGTTTCATACTCTAGGATACGCCATATTTTTCTATTCTGGGCGATGTGCGAGAGGGGATGAGGTTTAGTTGGTTTTCCGTTTTCCCAAGAGTTGAACTCCCCAAGTGCAGACCCGTCCATCCACTTCCACCGATCTTCTTCGGGACAATACTGCAGACCGATCCAGTGATACCCCCCAAAACGACTCCGCTGCTGTAGGGTGTAAAGGAAGTCGTTGGTCTCAGCGTCTCGGGGCATGGCAAGTGTGCCACCATCTTGGCGACAGGCCTCGGCCGCATCGCTGAAGGACATGGATAGTTTGACGGGTTTGAAGCAGGTTTCACGCCATCTGGTATAACCGGTGGGACAGGATACTAGAAAGATTGAAATAAGAATAAGTGATGTAAGGGATAGTAGGGATACATTGAAAGGATCGGATATCTGTTCCAGCACTTCCCAGTAAAACCATTTATGTTGATTGTCAGTATGCAGACTTGTTGATTGTCAGTATGCAGTTTTGACTACAATTGATGCCTCACCTCTTGGAGGTCCAGCCGGCCCCACCGGTCCAGTGCCAGTGTCACCCCTTTCTCCGGGAGGTCCAGCCGGCCCCATTGGTCCTGTGCCGCCCCTTTCTCCGGGAGGTCCAGCCGGCCCCACCGGTCCAGTGTCACCCCTTTGTCCGGGAGGCCCCACCGGTCCAGTGTCACCTCTTTCTCCGGGATGTCCCACCGGTCCAGTGTCACCCCTTTCTCCGGGAGGTCCAGGGGGTCCGGCAGATTGGTGGTTCTCTGAAAAAAGACCAAATTTTCAATAATAAAAGTGTGATTCACGAGTACGATATGTATTTCGAAGTAGCCAAGCCAATGTTAAGTTTATCTCTTCAAAGATAAGAAACCTTATTAGGGTCATTTAACCTACCTAGAGTCTTTCTTAACTCGTAGAGAATCTGCTCCAAGGACGCGGTTCGGTTTTGCTCGTTGTCCAGGTCTCGCTTCAAGGCGTCAACAGTTGTGAACAGTTGGGACATCTCCTAAAGACACCAGAATATACCAAACTTCAAAAAGGAATTCAGAAAGACATGAAGAAAGAAACAAGACGAAAACACAGATACAAAGCATGTGGGAATATGTGTACACGACAGTGCTTACCTGTTTATTGATGAACGTCAAAGGCACAAGTCCCACAGAGACCAGACTCAGTAGCACGGCGATACCAGCGGCAATGCAGATGCGATGGGACCGGATGAAGCTACAGAGACCACGGCGGTCGCTTCCTCCACCCGGATACGTGCGGTCTGCAGGAAAAGTCATTTGGCTCAGGTTTTCACAAAATTTTCCTGAAATCGTCTACTTCAGTAAATTGACGTCAGGATTGAGTTTTGTATCTGCAGGAATGCCACATAGACAAGCGCATAAATTTTAAGGCGACATGCACCTAGCCTTCTTAGCAGGGCTTTTTTTCTGATGCATATTACTTCTAACTTCTATTTGTACTCAGGGTTCTCGTGCCGACTCCAGTAGACCTATGCATTAATTATCACGCGTATGATGTAATAGAGCCTTTAACATGCATTTTCAATCCACTTCTTTTGCTGCTTTGAGTCGCCGACACATATAAGTGAGAACATAGGCAGCTCTACCGCCATTAGTAAAGATTTAAAATGAACTGGGAGCCGCCCGAGCACCAAGAAAGCTCGGCAGCCGCTGGCAGTCCCATGTGACTGTAGCATAACTATGAAACACACACACGGGCACACTCACGCACACACACACACACACACACACGCACATGCATAGATGCAAATACACCAGGAAGTGTCCTTGGTGCTGAACACTATCCACACACGAACACACGCACGCATACATAACACACACGCGTACGCGTACGCAAATACAAAAGGTTCTATCCTTGGTGCTGAACTCTCTCTTTCCACACACGCGCGCGCGTACATGGATGCAAATACACCAGGAATGTACTTGGTGCTGAACGCTATCCACTCACGAACACGCACACGCAAATGCAAAAGCTTATTCTATCCTTGGTGCTGAAAACTCTCTCCACACACAGCTTATTGCTTTATCAGTACGTGGCAACTGAGAATTCGCTTTTTGATTCATGAATATTTCATCAAATAGTAAATAGTTACTATGTATATATTATTTTGGCTTTGCTGTAATCATGTTCTCAGAAAGTACATGTAGCAACTCATTCAGTTCGCGAAAAAACGTAAATATGGTAAACAAACAGTTCTCAACAACACTTAACGTAAAATCAAGATAACTCGCTTCATGGAAAATACCATGCCCCTCCTTATTAAACTGAAGGGAAAATCATAAAAGCCCTATGAGTACCTGCAGACGTGTACGTTGCGTGACGCTTCACCGCCTCGGCCTCTTCGTACGTGTGCGAAGACGTTTCTGGGTCTTCCTGAAGCTTGTCAGAAGAGCCGTTGCCATGGCGGACACGCCCGCGTGAACCACTCTGATGGACAGGAGTGGGCTGAGAAGGCGGCCCGCTTGTTTGGCGGTTGCCGGGCCCCGAACGAGGGATCCGGACTGGATGTGCCTGCTCGTACATTTTGTACTGTACTGGCAAAGTACATACAGGAACACTGGGTTCTATACCCGAAATATACATAAACATAGAAAATATCAATCAGTTTGAAGACGTAAGGACTTTTGGTCCTTTGAAGAACAAAAAAATGGCTTAGTATGAAGTGTTGCGAATGGAATTTTGTTTTTCTGCAAATAGCAGACTAATATTCAGGATTAAGAAACCAATCTTGGTTTGATGTGCAGAAAACAAAGTACCAGTAATCCTTTCATACAGAACTTCAGAGCGAGTGATTTGATTGCTTAGTTGTTGTGAGTGTTACAAACGTAGGACATATTATGGTTCCCTTTGCATGCTGGGAAAATAGAGAGCTCTGGGTAATGTGGTGGCATTTCAAATCGTTACCATAACAACATGCATGCACACGAGTTGTCATGAAATGTCACTTCTAGGCTGGATGTAATAATTGGTTGATTATATGGATGAAAATGCTAGTGGGCTCAAAACTGACACGACAGCTGATGATCTGAAAAAAGTGGGCTTTGAAAGTTTACTTTATTATGAAACCTACGTGGTCTTTGAATATTGAGATTGCAAGACAATTGTGGGCACGAATCAGTCACTTACTAGTTACAACATGGAACTGTTCTCACCACGATGTTATAAAGATAAATAAGTCAAACAGATATTCAAGAAAACGCGGCAAAATTAACTCTTTCGAAAGCCTGTTTGCGGGTGATCCTGCAATGATAAATTTAGCCGTTTGGAGGTGCGTTTTTGGACCGTACTGCACTTTCCTGTAAATATTATCAGGGCTTAAAATACATTTTTCAGCTTTAGAAGGTCTAACATTTTGCGCACGTGGATGTCATCCATGTAATGATGCCAGTGTGGCCTAATCCAAAATATAATGGTCTATCAAAATATGACCATTTCTCTTTACTGTAATCATATAAACTAGCAAACCCGTACTCACACCTAACAGCATAATGGTACAGTCCGATTGTGACCTTTGACCCTTTTGGTACATTTAAGCTTCAGCCAAGTAGCGGTTCGGCAGATTTTGGACTTCTAACGTTAAATACGAGGTAACGTTCCTATAGCAAGTAACAAAACTGGAGGGACTGGGGCATTGATATATCATCTTTGAAATGGATTACGTTCGATTTTCTCTCGAGGCTCTAGCGTTACGTTTAGTGACGTTTTTGATGCAGACTTTGTGTGTGTGTGTTTTTTTTTTGGGGGGGGGGCATAACGTTGTATGTACGTACAGACAGACACTGAGCAAAGCTCCTCGCTTGCGATATGATGTACATGCTTATCTTTTAAAAACATTTCTAAACAGTGTCGCTGGCTTTGTCGACACTATTCTATTGTCAAGCAGTCAAGAAGGAGGGCAAATATATAAAGTTAAAGGTCCGATTACTATGTCTCATTGTGGTGTAAAAATAAGAAACTGATCTCCAACTCAAAGAAATTATAGACTCACAAGAATTGTCTTTTTGACTTGGAGAACAGTTTAATTTTTCGCTATGTAAACTACAACTCAGATGAACTTTCATGCCAATGTAGAAAATATTTTTTTTTCTCATTAAAGTTTATCTGTGTAGAAATCATAGTAACATGTCAGCTTTATTCCAACACAAGGGTTATGTAGAAATCAAATTTTCAAGGACCACTGTCATCTTCATCAGGATAAGTAATGACCAATCACTTCAAAACATAATCTTAGGAGCAGTGGGAGAGTTACAGTTATAGAGACCTCAATATTCTTTTTTTCTGTTTGTCTGAAGATTATTCGATGAGCCATGTCAGCCAAGGTGTGCACACAGTGTGGGGGTCAGAACATCCAGCAGGACCTACACTTCTGCTTGGAGCAGCAAATCTGCATCGACTGTGGGTGTGTCGTGGAAGAGGGGAGCTTTCAGAACGACGCATCACGCATTTACGCGCCGCATCAGTCAATCACTCTCCCGCAGCAGTACCGCCAACGCAACAACTTCCACGGGTACGTGTCCAAGGCACGGAAAGCGGGCGCGAAGAAAGTGGAAGAAATTTCCGCCATGTTACGCGTCACATCACAAGCGATGGTGGACGAGGCAAAAGCGCTGTACCTCCGAGCCTACGACCTTCCCACGCTCAATAGAACGAGACGGGAAAAGAAGAACGTGCTGCCCGGGTGCTGCGTGTATATCGTGTGCAGGCAGCACGACTGGCCAATCACGGTGTCCGTTCTATGGGATCTGATACAGTGCCGAGATTCCGTCTTCTACAGCGTGTACAAGGTCATACTTACAGATCTGAACATCATCATTACCGCACCAGACATTGAGGAAGTTATTCCTTCTGTTATTAAAAAGTGTGACTTCAACTTTCAACTTGATGACGAACAGATGAAAACGATAACTCGGATCGTCTGCCTCGCTAAAAACACATGGATCTCCTGCGGCCGCCGCTACGACCCAATCATCATCGCTGTGGTGTTCCTCGTGTGGAAAGCGTCCGATTACGCCAAGAGGAAGAAGACCAGCATCCCAAGCTTCTATCGGCAAAAGAAATCCGGTCCCCAAGTCGTAGCTTTGGTACGGTCCCGCGTGAATGAACTCGAAGACATTCTGATCAAACTTGCGTCAGAGATTCCCTGGGTACAACCAGGAGAAGTCAACAAACAAAATGTCGTCTGCTACATATCAGACATTCTGCAGTACGAAAAGACGCTACTCGACGGTAAAGACATTTTCTCCGACGACTCGGACGTAGAAAGTGAGGAGGAAGAAAGAGAACAAAAAGATAAGTTCCTTCCACCAGGTATGAAAAACCGTAAGCCAACGTCGGATGTAAGGGATGACAACGAAACATCAAGTGATATTTCTGTCCAAGTGTCTTACTCTACAGAACTGGGAGAAAATGATATACCAGACTCAGAAATGCACAAGTACATCCGAACCTCTCAGGAAGTCAAGATGGTGGAAGAAGTCATGAAAAGAGATGAAAACAAAATTGAAACAGAAAATCCAGGCAAGAGAAAGGACTCCAGTAGTAGCTGCAATCCCCACAAGAGAAAAAGATCAGATGTTGAAAACCTAGACAAAACAGAGTCTGATTGAGTTGCATTAAGATTAGTATCATGTAATATTTTGGAAAACAATGTGCCATAAAGGATTTGCAGTGTGAACAGATTTCTTTGTCATAATGTTGGAGCATACCAAAATTCAATTCCAGACTCAAGATGGATTTCTTGAAATCTCAGTTTACAGTTACAACTTGTACACCTACTTTTTGCATCGATAAGTTGTCAGTGAATTTTACTAGGGCAGTCCAATAACCTTAGGAGGACCCACGCAATCGGCAAGGGAGACACAGTTCGTCACAGATGAAACTGTGTATTAGAATAGGTCACAAGAAAACACAGACAGTATATAGATTAGTTTCTCTCTTGGTTAGTGTTCTTTGCATAGGCTAGTAGTAAATAAAGGCATTTTGTTCTAAGGCTGTATGAACACATTTTTCACATTACTTGTATCATACAGGTATGACAATTGTTTCTTTTATATACACTATTGTATAATACAGTCAAAACTGCCCAAGAACACCACTCAGGGGACCAATAAAATCCAGTGGACAGGTGGTCAGTATAGACAGGATTCATTAATGTCAATGAGAAAAGGGATCAACAAAAAGGGTTGCATTGGTCAGACGGTCCTTTAATGTAGAGGTGGGCAATTCCACAGGTTTGACTGCTCATAATCGTCATATTTACACTTGTTATTGTTTTAGAAACGGTAGCATCTTTAGTGGCCCAAAAGTTAAAATCCCCCCCCCCCTTACCGTAGGGTTTACTCAAACAAATACATGTATCAAGGGGAACTAAGGTATTCAGTCAAAAAGAACTGAACATGCAAGCATGATAAAGTTCTGCTAACACATTAGCCTCTATCAGGCTTCGGGAGGCGGCTGGAAAGAGTAGAAATCGGTCAAATAGAGAGATAACATGCCGAGGGAGTTGGTCTGCTAGAGAGAACATTTTGCCGCACCAGGCTTGCTATCTCTATATTTGAGCAATTTCTACTCTTGCCAGCCATCTCCCGAAGCCTGGTAGAGGCTACTAACACATACCCATGGCCATATCACCCCTTCCCAAGCAAAGGGCTATCTACCTGATCCAAAATTTGTGACCATACCATGTCCAAATTAAAACCAGGGGGCCCAAAATCTAATCATTTCGAGGTCTCATCAAGATCTACCCACCTACCAAATGATCTAGCCGCATTTCACATAAATTTTACTAGGGATGAACCAAAAAGATACAGAGCTTTTCTAGTATAATTCACAATCACATAGTGGAGAGCAGGCAGTGATCTATCTGCTGCAGTTAGAATATTTTCCGCTAGATGTCGCTTTTAAACAATGGGAATTTTAAACACCTGCGCGGAGCGGTTTGAATTTCCGCCCGTCCCGCGCAGCTTGCGATCAGTTTCACCTGTTGTGTATTATGTATACATTTCACCAAAGGCACGGCCTTTAAAAATTACCCCCAAAAATCCAACGATTTTTACTAAAAATGGGGTAGAATTCGTCACAGAAGAACCGCAAATATACCACCCCACACCACAAGGATTTCTACGGAAAGGTGAGTGTAATTTTGCGTGTAAAATTCTTGCAATTACGTTGCAAATTGAGGAATTAAGAGACCGTTATTTGGGACAGAGTACCTGTAAAATGGCGTTACCGTGTTATATGATATCTTGTACTTTATAGGTTAAGGGCGGTGGTCGACAAGTTTAAATGTCCTCAATCTCTGAAAGTTGACAGCTATCCCCATTTTCTTAGTATTTTTAGCAAGATTATTGAAGATTTTTAGTCTTTTTCGTGAGTTTGCTTTAGGCACGTGAGTATAGGTGTACCGTTAGGGTGTTACCGTTAGCTATAGCGTTGTTTATACTTCAAGTTACGGAACTTTAAAAATCGGGCGGCTGTTGGAAAAAGGTTGTACTATGGTTGTAGACTCATGTAGATTCATTCTTTAGATACATTATGATGATTCATACAATTTATTTCCCCAGTTAATTCTAAAAATTCGGTGATTATAAAAAAGAAAATCTTGTTCAACTGTTAGGGTACAAAACGTGTGTGTGTGGTTTGGTTATTTGAGGGATGTAATAGTTACTGTTCTCATGTCTTTAACAGACAAATTAGACATTGAAATCAAAGTGGTTAATGTTTGAGTGTAATACAGGTGAATTTTACAGGTGTTCAGGTGCTGTAAAACAGGTGTTTTGCACATCATAACAGGTGAAAAAGACTGTAATGTGTAGGTTATTTTTAACTCTTAGATATGACTCATAGCTAAGATATGTTAGTACAATGCCTACATGGTCAACTCTAGAAATAACACAAACTTGCAACAACGCATTTTGCAGCGTTTATTAATAACAAGTATCTACATTATTAGCATTTTTAGCTTGTATACATATGTGTGTTTGTGTGTGAATGTTTGTATTTGTGCATAATGTAACAAAAAAGAATCAGTTAGTGCAAATTAAGCATGAAACGGTTTGCTTGTTCCATTCCACTTAACAGGTGGTTGAATTGATATGATTTGTTTTTTCTGCACGTAACAACACAACTCTTCATTGTATAAGCTAATAAACTCACAAACTGGTTGTTTTTGATCAGATGAATGCCTGAAAACCCTACAAAAGTAGTTTTGAAGTCACTGTAGTTTAAAACTCAACCATAGCTTAAATGCTACTTACTAACATTTGATGTTTGTGCAGATGTCACTCACTCTCCATTGTGAAAAAAACAAGTGTTAGAAATACCCACCTGCAGTCTGCATTTTGCAAAGACATTTTAGTATTGCAGAAGAAAAATTGAGTAACCTGCATTTTTTGGTACATGTATATGCCATTGGTTCATGCCCATACTTATAAGTGTGTATTTGCATTAAGTATTTCTGAATTGCATCTGCTCAACTAAATTTTGACATTCTGCAGTATTACAGTACACTTAAGAAAAGTACTTCTACCACTGGAAGTGTTTTATTAGGCATTTAATGTTAGGCAGAAAATTTGACCCATTTTCCAGCTTCCAACATCTTAATCCACTGTTCCCATTTTTAAATCCGTCATCTATTTTAGTACAAGACCAGACTGTGTGTGTAACATAACCCATCCCATGCTTAACAACATTTCCTATATATAGGACACGTATGTAGCCAAAACTGCAGAAGTAGACGACTCAGGGGACCAATAAAATCTGGTCTATTTGGACAGGTGGGCACTATAGACAGGATTCTTAATGCTTGTGTGTGAAGGGGAGAAATTACTAGTATTTAGGGGACCGTTAAAAAGTGTTCACATTGGCCAGGTGGTCCTTATGTACTTGTACAGGTTTGTCTGTATAGTGTTACTCAAGGCAGATTTATCTTCATACTGTCACCTAACTCCAAACTAATACACATTCCATGTCAAAAAAAGTTAGCATAGAGAATGTTAAACCTACATGGTCTACAGGGTTTGAAATAGCCTGGAATCCATCCGTGAACGCTGTGTCTCCGCTCCGTTCCTCCGCTCTGCCTTCATGGCCTTGAAGGCAGAGCGGAGGAACGGAGCGGAGCGGAGACACAGCGTTCACGGATGGATTCCAGGCTAGGTTTAAAATACATCGTATCACTTGCATGATGCAGATTAGTGCAGATAAAATTGGAGCTGTGCAGGCCTTTCTGATGTCTACCTGTACCTAACCTGCACTGGTTCATGTACTGGGTTTATATACAGATTCTTTATTGACACAACAAAAAAGTACAGAGACTTATATATGTGTGTATGTGGGTGATTTTATTTGCTACATTGATTGACTGTTACAAGTAAAAAAGAAATAGTGGCAATGGTTTCTGAACAGTTTTTAGTATGATTCACACTTCCTAAAGTCTAAGTGGTGCAGGTAAAACTTGTCTTATTGTTCAGGTAATTTCAATGTTATCTGCACCTTTGTAGCTATGCGGAAAAAAGCATTTCAAGCCCTATATAATTGAGAACAAATTAACCTTCTTATTGCCACCTAACTCCATAACTGATATGAATTTGATGTCCAAACAATGCCTTAGCATGGTAATGGTTAAAACCCACTTGGTCCATGTAACACCCCCCCCCCCAACACCTGTTTCCAATATGTCGTTACTACAATGAATACACTGCCTCGAAACTTGTATAAGCATAAGGCCTGGGGGTGGATTCAGCGGCACTGTTTGCGCTACGATATTGATTGGTACTTTAGTTGCCATGGTGACGGCTTGTAGTACCAGGAGGTGTGATGTCATGTGGGCGGGGTTTAACTGACACATCTGTATACTATGGTATGGTGTGTGTATGTTTTGTCTGACTCAATTTCAAGTTGTCAAATAGGTGTGTGTACCTAAGTGCCAGGTCCTGAAAAATTGTTCAGGCACCATGCAGGCAGTTTCAGAGCATTAAAGCTGAATTTTTAAGGTGAAGCTCGATTTTTAAACTAGATTTTTGAAGTCGATTTTCTGGCTGTTTTGGCTTTTTTTTATGAAGGAAATTGAATCAACCCTATCCCATAGCTTTATACTGCTGTCTATGAGGCAAAAATGTGATGTCTCTGATGGAAAAAGGTTGCTTGTTTTGTATCGTAGACTGTCTCTAGCTATTTACATTGTATAGTTGGTGCCAAAAAATAAAGAGACTTCTTATGTAGCTTGCAGAATAAAACAGTAGTGAAAACCTGCATTTAAGGCTATAAAGACAGATAATATTTTTCCTATAGATAATTAGGAAAACTTTGCATACAATACTCCAATTATGTTTTGAGATTGAAATATGCAAAAAAGTGTTGCTTTTGCTGCAATCTCTGCAAGTTTTCATATCTGCCCACTAAAATGAAACAGGACTGCTTTTGTTGAAAATAATTTTAACGTCTAACCCTTGGTTACAGGGAACAACAGATGTTAAACCGGGTAGAGAGAGAGAGAGAGAGAATTTTACTCAAATATAAAACACTAATGCTATTGCATCAAATAATTTTATGTTTTTCCTGGGTAGAATGCTGTGATTGTCAGTACATAGCTCTTCAAAATTTTACAATTATTGTTATGTATAATGTAGTACCTAAATTCCTGATTTCCATCTGTTATGAGAGTGCTGAATTTTGTGTTGTGAATAATTTATGTGAGATGAACAATAGGACCACTATCACTCCATATAAAGGTACAAAAGCATTATTTAGATAGAAATCTTTGATGGCCTGAGGAGTGTTACTGCATGGTTACTGTAACAATGAAATGTTTTATTTTGTGAGTGGGTTATTCACCCTTTGTCTATTGTTCTTGGAAACAGGTATTTTTGTGCAATGGTAACACTAATACATTGTTGTTGGAAACAAAGGGACTACCGAAAACAATGTGCAAACATTTCCCACATAAAAAAAAGATTAAAATATGACTACCGGTACTTAATTCCACTAAAAACAACAATAACAACAAAAGAAAAGGCCTAGCCCCAGTAGAAATATCAGATTCTGTATTATTTCTGTATATTTTGTTCCATATTAAAAAAGGCTAGAACTAAACTATATAATAATTTCTATTCCAGGGCCGTCTTCCCTGACCACACAATGTTTCCCACTATGCAACCGTCCAGATGTAAGTGCCATTGTCCTGGTGCTGCCCCAGGAACAAGACAGCTACGTCTAAGAACTCTGGGAACAAGACCAGCAAGCATCATGGGAAGCCTGAGCCACAGTCCTCATTCGAATAGCCAGGCCACGAATAAAGGAATGACAAATTTCCTCCCAGCAGTAAGAACTTGGCCCGGGTTTTCCTGGTTGGTCACGATTATGTCGATATGGCTTGTTTTAGTTGCCATGGCAACTCCATCAAGCGGCGTGGAATGTAACGTACCGAGCGAGACCCCCTGGCGGGGCCATGCAGTGAGTTTCTCGCGGGAATGGGGGATCGACTGGGCGTGTAGCAGCTACTTTAATTGTTACGGCGTCAACGCGACCCTTGAGAATATCCCACAACTCTGTCCCGTAGAAATGCAAGAAGGCGATTCCTTGTACCTAAATTCTACTTCGATCATCTTTTTCCCAGAAGTAAAAGCGGTAAACGTGTCTGAACAAGACTTTGTCAACTGCCCAACTAACTATTCTCTAGACCAACTGCTTTTTGGCAACATGTCGACTGCTGGCATGTCTCTGTTGGTTGATTCGAGATTTCTCACACCCGGAGTGAAGTATTTCGCACAAATTCCAGACGGCAATTCTTTCGGTACCTGTGAATTTGGGCTGAGAGTCAACGTCACGGTAAAAACGAGAGATTGCGAGCCTGTGAGTTCGGACCCAGAATGCACCCGGAACGGACGGTGCGTGACAAGGCCTCAAGAGGAGACGTACGGCTGCGCGTGTGATGTCGGGTTTATCGGACAGTACTGTGGGGAGCTGGACGGTTGCTATGACAACCCGTGCCTGTACGGTACATGTGTAGATGTGCAGGAAGGGTTGAATGGAAGAGACTACAACTGCACTTGTGAGGAGGGGTTTAAAGGTGCGTTTGACTCCATTCTGATACTTCATACAATGAAATGAAATTCAAACTTTGTACAATATACAAGAAAGTCAACTTCAAATTTAGCACAATTGCTTGTTGTAGATACACAATGTATCTCTTACAGATCATCCAGGTTTTTGTTGAAGTCATGCATCAATGTCTGGAAAAATAATGTTGAAGTTCATGAAAATTAAATAGAAAAAAAGCAAAGCAAGGAAATGATTGATTTTACACACACTTAAAATCTATGTGCGGAAATATGAATAGTTGTCCTTATCACAATATTGTGAAGGATTATAACAATGTTGATGTTCATTATTAGGTAAGAACTGTTCAGAGCTGATAGACTTGTGCACAGACGGCGTGTGTAACAACGGTACCTGTGTGAACGGCACTGCTACAGACAGCCACTACTGCGTCTGTTACCCAGGCTATACTGGTAAGGATTAACCACACATACAATATTATGTATACTATGCTTGATAGTCTTTGTTCAGAATTCTTGCTTCTTTTTGCAATAAGATCCACTGGGGTTAATTATTTTTCATATATAAGATTCTTGGATTTTGAACAATTATATATTTTCTGTGCTACAAAACATACAAACAGAAAAGTTTCAGTACCAAGGACAGCCACTGTCGGTTTTCCTGATCAAGAGAAACTATTGATTTTGATATTGTATTCCTGTTATGTATGTTGACAACCAGACAATTTTATGTGAAATTAGACAAAAGCATTTTAAATAATATGTTTGTTTTTTTCCGTGACAGATCCAACATGCGACACCGTCATTGACCTGTGCGAATTATCTCCCTGCGAAAACGGAGCTACCTGCACTCCCGTCGTTCCACTGGACTACAGCTGCGAATGTGTGGCTGGGTTTACAGGCAAGGACTGCGAGGTGGACATCAACGAGTGTGCGTCCAACCCGTGTACTGTCGGCGCCACATGCGATGACCTCATTGACGGTTACGTATGCGTTTGTACGGAAGGGTACACGGGTGTCGGTTGCGACGTCGAAATCAACTTCTGCGACTCAGAACCGTGTAAGAATAACGGAACGTGCAACCGCGAGTTTAATGGCTACACGTGCACATGTGCATCCGGCTTCACGGGTCCGACGTGCGACTTTCCAGACCATGATTGCGAGAGCGATACGTGCCAAAATGGCGGACAGTGCATTCAAATTCCCAACGGATTCGAGTGTCTCTGTCAGCCTGGTTGGACTGGAGACATGTAAGTTGTTGTTGTTTATTGTTTTGCACTTAAAAATAAAACAAAATGTAACAATTGAGATTGAAATAAATAGACATGCATGGGAGGGCTGGAAACCTTTGTGGTTTATCTTTGGCCCTCCCCAATACTAGAACATGATAAGTTATTATATACCAATCAAACTTATTGCTTGTGGTCATTCTAAGCTTTAGTCACAAGTTTTGTATCTGTAGCCCGTATAGCTGCACTTTAGTGTAACACACCAGCTTCTGTCTCTGTATAACCGGTATAATAGCCCTTTTGTGTAACACACCAGCTTCTAAAAAAATTATCAATTTTTAGAATCACGGGAATATGATTATAATATCTTTAATCATTCTCGATCTCTCCTCTGTAGCTGTGATGAGCGAGAAAACTACTGTGTAGACATCAACCCAGACGTGTGTCAGAACGGGGGAACATGTCAGGACACCAGCCTGCCGTACGGACCCCCCAGCTACAACTGCACCTGTGTACCTGGATGGCAGGGTCAGATATGCAAATTTTTATTCAAATGAGGTCCTAATTTACATAGATCTAATAATGTCCAGTGACTACAATGCAATGTAGATAACTCCGGTTACATTATGTACAGGTAAAACAATTGGTGACAGATACAGATTTAATTCTTCTATGTAAAATGAATGCATGCGCAGTCATTCCTTTTCTAACCATTATTTAACATGACTTAAGTAGTAGTGTTTGCCCCCTACAGGTAGAGATTGTGAGGTGGAGACAGATGAGTGTGAATCGAATCCCTGTTTAAATGGAGGAACCTGCTTTGAAGCTTTCAACTACTTCAATTGTACCTGTGTCCTTGGTATGTGTACACTGTATTAAAAAAACTTGTATGTTAATATTATATGATAATGATTATGAATCAGTAGGTTAGTGTTCTTTAAGGCAGAATTTGAAACATGAATAAAATTATATATTTTCAGGGTGGCAATACAAAATATATTATGGAATTGTTTTATAAAGTTTTTGAAATATCCTTAAAATGTGCTACAATATGAGTGTGTAATCGTAACAGGTACTATGGTCGTTTATTTGTTTGTTGTCTCCTAGGTTACAACGGAACCCAGTGTGAAAACAACATCGACGCCTGTCAGCTGAGCGGTCCACCCGAGGAGAAGTGTCTGAACGGAGCCACATGTCTGGACGGAGACATCGGACTGGAGTACTCCTGTCTGTGTGTCCCGGGGTTCATAGGTCAGGAGAAAAAACTGCTATTTTATCTATTTATTAATGTTTTCATCTTTTGAACAAGTGGGTTGTCCCATCAGTTATGATTTCACAGTTACATAGAGTTTCACGACCTCATGAATCCCCAAATGATGCCTACATTGAATTATACAGTATCCTGCCAACAAAAAAACGACAAACACAAAAGGTCCACTGCAGTGTCCATTTTCGAACTTGACTATTGTCTCCCCAATGATAACCTGCCTGCCAAAAATCGTGAACAAAAAGTCATTCATTTTGATTCATGCCTTCAAGAGTTATGCTGTTAAGTCTAAGTCCAAAATCATGACTACTTGAATAAACAATAAGACCAACATTAATGAATAAAAGACAAAATATTTTATCATTTTTTATTTTCTTCTTACTTTCTCAGGTTCCAACTGTAGTGAGGAGATTCTGGAGTGTGAGTCGGAGCCGTGTCAGAATAACGCCACCTGCCTGGATCTGATTGGTCGATACGAGTGTAACTGTACCGACGGGTTCTACGGGGTCAACTGTGAGAGCGACAAGGACTGGTGCGAGGATGAGGTCAGTTTTAACCTTCTCCCTGCTGCCTAACCTGATCACCAGTACAAAATTGGTGACAAACAGCTACCTTAGCATATATAGGGTTAGAAAATGCAAAAGCAAATGCAAAATGTTTACCTTCACCTGGTCTAGCCCAACAATCTACATGTACTGCACTGTTTATTTTTACTCAAAGTTAAATACATTCATATGTATGGTGACCAGCCCCTCCAACCCTGTTCTGCTACATAATGTAACCCAACACCACAGGGTTTCTGCTACAGCACCAGTTACCATGGTGACAGACGTCTGGTCCAGGTCATTGACCGTATGTGTTTGGAGAGTAAGAAGAGGAAACTGAGCAAAAACAATTATGATCATTTCCTTCTGCAAAAGTAAACATGATGAAATTAGTAAACTTAAGGCAAGATTTTAGGTTTAAAGTTGTGTCTATGTTTGTCGATGGCAGCCCTGCTTCAACAGTGGTACCTGTATCACGGTACTTGGGTGGTACCGTTGCGAGTGCGCCCCTGGCTGGACGGGAGAGAACTGCACCGAGAACATCGACGAGTGTGTGAACAACACCTGTCAGAATGGAGCCACCTGCCACGACCAGGTGGCCTCCTACAGGTGAGTAACAGGTGGTAGCACTGTCTCACAGAAGATCCCCAAATTGACTGATTACTGAAGTTGTATTCATTATGCCAAACAACTTTCATGTTTTGCTATATTCTATGATAAGTCTTGGCTCAAAGTATGTGCACTTTAAACTTTGTTCATCTAAGGCTTTGTTACATCTAGATCTTTAATTAAAAAATTATCATTTTGAATCATATTCAGTATGTTTTTAAAGTTTAATCAATTAATGTAAAAGGACTGATCATAAGTCTTAGGCCAACTGAAAGCAAGGAAATCTAGCCAATAAATACATTTGTAACAACAATAGAATCATTCTTAATATGAAAGCATACTCATGATATACCTGTCTTAAAGAGCTGATTCATATATTCCAGTCTGTTTAACTGTTAACATGTGCAGTAAAACATAAATTTAAGTTTGATTCTGTGGAGTTAATCAAGGATTCATTCTGTTAAAATTTTTAATTTCCAGCTGCGAGTGTTCCGTGGGTTTCAACGGTACTTACTGTGAGAACAACATCGATGACTGCGTCTCCCTCCCGTGTCAAAATGGCGGCACCTGTCACGACCAAGTCAACAACTTCACCTGTACGTGTGCGCCCGGTTTCACCGGGAAGGACTGTTCCACGGATATTGACGACTGCGAATCTTCGCCGTGCCAAAATAGCGCCACCTGCGAGGACTTGGTTAATGACTACAACTGCAGCTGTTCTCCAGGCTACGAGGGGAAGAACTGTACGGTTGATATCGATGACTGTTTGTCTTCTCCGTGCGAGCATGGCGGCACGTGCATTGACGCCGTAAACGACTTTAACTGCAGGTGTTCGGCCGGGTATACTGGAAAAAACTGCTCGGAAAACATTGATGACTGCGAAGCGTCGCCTTGCGAAAATGGTGGGACTTGTTCCGATGCCATCAACGATTACGTCTGCACGTGTGCTCCCGGTTACGCCGGGAAGAACTGTTCCGTAAACATCGATGATTGCGCGTCTGCGCCGTGCGAAAATGGAGGCACGTGTCTTGACGAGGTTAATGACTTCAGCTGTACCTGCATGCCCGGTTATACAGGTAAAAACTGCTCAAACGACATCGACGAATGCGAATCGTCACCGTGTGAAAACAACGCTACATGTACCGACCTTGTTAACGACTACGCGTGTGACTGCACCGCTGGCTTTGATGGCAAAAACTGCTCCAATAACATCGACGACTGCTTGTCCCTCCCCTGTGAGAATAATGGAACGTGCCTGGATCTCGTAGATGACTTTGACTGTCAATGTGCTCCTGGGTTTGAGGGTAAAAACTGCTCTGTGAACATCGACGAGTGTTCTTCCAACCCTTGTGCTAATGATGGCTTGTGTATGGATGGCATCAATGGATACCAGTGCTTCTGTGTACCAGGTAAGGGTATAGGCCAGGAGCAAACTTCGCTGTGTGGTATTTCTGTGGCTTTGCTGTTTTCTTATTTAAAGTTTCTGTTCCCATAGCCAGGCAGTGTTGCTGGTTTCTTCCTTCTTCAACGTTAACAAAGTCCCCCATTCCTTACCAGTGTATCTTTACCCCCCAAGATTCCAGTAATGGGTTTTTGATTGAGCCTAAGGCCACACCAATTTAATTTCTTGGTTAACGGATTCGCCTCTTCATTTTTTTCTGATTTGCAAATAAAAATAAAAATTCAGAATCAACTGCAAAATGCTCATATTTTGCCCTGAACAGTTGAAAACAGTCCTTTTCGTACTACTTGTTACAGTCATTCCATCTTTCAATGCAGTGCTACAATTAAAAGTTATAAAATCATTGTTTAAATTTTGAACCAGTCTGGTGTGTTGACTTCATGGCTCCTATCATACCACTTTGGGCCATAATAGGATGCCTGGGCCTGTTTTTATTTTTATTTTTTTTTCGCCCGCCCGCTCCATTATTTTTCTAGAAAAATCCGTTAACCAAGAAATTAAATTGGTGTGGCCTAATGAGTTTTTAATGGAGTCAGGCTGGTTCCTAGTAGACTCCCTACCCTCTGAGGGATTAGCATGGTCTGTCTATGTTGTTTTTACTAATCAACCATGAAAAGACTCTACAACTACAAGTAAACAATGTTTTCTTAGGCAGACTTTCTATAATTAAGGAACCCAAGGTTCCATGCCATGTATGCTTAACAATACATCTATAATTCACAAATAATGTTTTTTCTTGAAGTTCTTGAAGGGGTATCAGAACATATACATGTAGGGGTTTGAAACATAAAGGGTGTAACCAAAGCACTTTGCTATTCCATCCTCTGTTCAGGGTTTATTGGAGAGAACTGCAGTATCAATATTGACGAGTGTCTGACAGCACATTGTGAGAACGGCGCTACCTGTACAGACCTGATCGATGGTTATAACTGCACCTGTGCCTCAGGTAACTTCTTCATTTTTCTCTCAAAAATTTATCATATTCATAATTATTTTGATAATGCTTTTTATTGCACTGACCTGAGTAAAATGGATGGTGACATTGAAGAATCAACATTTTAACGTTTACTAGTTCAGATTATGTATTCTTTATGCAGAGTTTTTGTTTGTTTATTTGTTTGTTTGAGCTTTTGTTTACTCATGAGAAACTTGAATCGGTCTGCTAGCTACTTTTCATTGAGGTCATGAGGGAAGAGGTAAGGGTCAGACAAAATATAACAAGATACAGGTTATATGATTGAAGTTCTAACAAATGTATAAACACATAGGTGTAAATGTTTTTAAAGAATATATCCTTACATATATTACATTGCTTAATATAACACCAGGTTAGTTACTTTCAATATTGTTTATATTTTTATGCTAGGCTGGAGTGGAGAAAACTGCACAGAGAACATCAATGAATGTCTGTCTAGTCCATGTGGCATCGGCACCTGTCTTGACAACATTGACGGGTACAACTGCACCTGTCCACAAGACATCTACACTTACGATGGCCACTGCAACATCATCGAACCGTGTAGCTCAAACCCTTGCCAGGCAAACACAACAACAACATGCAACAACACGATCGTAAACAACATCTATACATACATCTGTGTCTGCGTAGCAGGTTTTGACGGACAAAATTGCGAAGAAAACATTGAAGAATGCGTTGTTGAAAATGTTTCGTGTCAAAATGGAGGGACGTGCAGAGATCTTGTGAATAACTACACGTGCGAATGTGCTGCTGGGTTTACTGGGAGGCACTGCGAGGTGAATGTAGACGAATGCGAGGCTAACTTCTGTCAGAACGGCAGCACCTGCGTGGACGGGATCGACGGTTACACTTGTAGCTGTGCTCCTGGGTTCAAAGGTCAATACTGCAACGAGACAATAGACAGATGTGAGGACACACCTTGCCTGAATGGTGAGACGTGCACCGATACGCCAAATAGCGTCACAGGACTACCGTTCACATGTCAATGCGCGACCGGCTTCAATGGCACATTCTGCGAACTGAACATCGACGAATGTCTATCCAATCCTTGTCAAAATGGCGGAACCTGCCAAGACGGCGTCAACGAATATCTGTGTGTGTGCCAGCCTGGTTTCAACGGCACCAACTGCGAAACCGACATTGACGAATGCGAAAACGATTTTTGTCAGAACGGTGCCACCTGTAACGACCAGGTTAACAACTACACCTGTACATGTGCGGCGGGTTTTGAAGGAAGAAACTGTGAAATCAACACGGACGAATGTGCGTCTAACCCGTGTAATCCACAGACTGGCGTATGCGTGGATGAAATAAATGGCTACAGATGTTTCTGTTTAAATGGTTGGACAGGGAACAACTGTAGCGTGAATATCGACGACTGCGAAAGCCGGCCGTGCGTAAACGGAGCCACCTGCGTTGACGAAATCGGAGGCTACAGTTGTACGTGTTTGCCGGGATATGAGGGGACGGACTGTGAGGTTGAAATCGACGAATGCGAATCTGATCCATGTCAAAATGGAGGAGCGTGTAACAATGGCATTGACGAGTACAGTTGCAGCTGTGTGCCTGGTTACGCTGGTAAGTATTTTGTTTCCTTTTCAAAATCTTTATGCCCATATTAATAATATTATGATTAATACTACATTTGCAGTTCATCTCAAAATAAAAATGCAACACTTGTTCTTGTACACTTTCTAGAATCTGATTCTTTTGAGAAAGGTAAATTTTAGAACTATGTACTAGTAGTTAGAACTTAGTATTTCTCTGAGTCTAATGACTACAAGATTGTTTTTAGAAAAAAGTTTTTCACTTGAATGTGTGGCTTTTGCTATGCTTTCTATTCTTGAGAATTATACATGTGAAGAGAATTTTTAATAGCTCTGTCAAAGACATTTTCCAGTACAAGTACAGAATCTGATGTATTTATCCTCAAAAAACATATCAAACAAAAGTCATGTAGAATGTTTTGTACAAAACTGACATTTTGTGTACAAAAAACAGATTTTTATACAAATCTGCGATCTTACAGACAAGTATAAAACAGCATAATGTGTTGAATTCAATGAAAGAATTGTACACAATCATCGCCATTTGCCAGCAAAACTGACAAGTGTGCCAATGTTTTTGTGTTTTATTCTAGGGACCAACTGTGAGATCAACATCGATGAATGCGATCCCCAACCCTGTCAAAATGGCGGTACGTGCCTGGATTTCATAAACAGCTACTTCTGTGTCTGCACGTTCCCGTATGTCGGTACCAACTGCTCCCAGCTTCCGTGTGAACAGTCCCCATGTCAGAATGGAGGAAACTGTACGCACACGGACTTTACAGTGGATGATGGGTTCGGTTATACCTGCAGCTGTCCCGCTGGATTCATAGGTGAGGCCATTTTGTTCCTACTTTTTATTAGATTAAGAAAGACATTACAGTTCGTATCAATGGATGTATGGGAAACCTGGCTGGAACAAACTACGACAGCACATCAAAACACTTTCCAGTAGATCCAACTTTTAAAAAGCCCTCTGCCAACTTTTCATATAATCTTCTGTAGCTAGTATGTAGATTAAGTTACTTTCATTTGTATGAAATGTACATTGAATTATGCCTGTTTTTCCCTGCCAGGTCGTAACTGTGAGCTGAACTTTAATGACTGTTGGAGGCAGCCGTGTGTGAACGGTTTCTGTCAGGACGGCATCAACGGTTTCATCTGCTTGTGTGATCCTGGTCAGTACAACCTACTATCACAAAACTTGAATACTTGAAGCATTTGTTCAATTTGCAAGTTGTTTTAATAATTTTGTCAGCTTGAGACACTTTCGCCCACTCTGCCAAAACTGTTACAATTTCACAGAGATTTGGACTCTTGTTGTGTTTCAGGCTGGGCAGGTGACTTGTGTGAACAGCCCATAGATGACTGTATAGACAACATGTGCAGGAACAGCTCCACCTGTGTGGACAGGCACATGGGCTACACCTGTGTCTGTCCACCTGGTCTGGAGGGGACGTTTTGCGAGGTCAACATCGACGAATGTCTGCAGGCAAACTGTCAAAACAACGCTACCTGTGTGGACCTGTTCAACGACTACAGGTTTGTTCCCGCTTCTGACACCATGTTGCGTTCTTTTTTTTTAATCCTTGAAACTTGAAACTGACGTAGACTTGAATCTGCCTTTCAACTAGTTTGATCCAGATGTAACGTGCGTAGTCCAGTCGTAAGCAACCCTGCCTCTGGAACAAGAGGCTGGGAGTTTGAACCCCGGCTGTTGTCACAGTCCTTTAAAAGGACCGGACGTTAAGCTGTGGTACACTGTTCATGTTCTTCTCAAAAAGAGCTAGGGGTATTTCCCTGTTACATTGAACCAGTAAATACGAGATTAGCTCTTCAGTGAGCTACAACTGGATCAAGATTACTTTACATTCCTTTCTTTCTAACTGAGAGTTTTACTTTTTTTTCAAAGACTTGCATAACCATAGCACACCTAAATTTTACTCCTTTCAGGTGTGACTGCCTGCCTGGCTGGACTGGGAAAGACTGCGAATCCGACATCCCAGAATGCAGTTCCAACCCTTGCCTCAATAACGGCACCTGTTTCGACAACGTGGACGGCTTCGTGTGCAACTGTCCGCCATTTTACACCGGACAGAACTGCTCCCTGCCCTTTGACCCATGTGACTCGACCTATGACCCTTGTGATAATGGGGCCACCTGTTTGACCAATCAGGACGGGTCATACAGATGCAGTTGTATCCCAGGTAACCAATCATGACATGGTTAGCAGTTTGTCAGTCTGTTGTATTTGCATAAAGTCAAAATGATTTTAGGCCTCTTTATACAAGCATACACTGCAAAAAATTATATCTGTTAGCATTATGGTACCTTAAAACATCCGTAAATGTTCCATTTTCCGACTGCAGTGAAGAAACAGACACTTAACACATGCTTTAACTTTAAGGTTACTTAAAGATCAAATTTCGCACAGTTCTTGTTGCTGACTCAAAACATCTTTTTGTACTGCAGGCTTTACAGGGATGAACTGCAAAATATCCTATCTCAATTACCTTAAAGCAATATTAATGTTCTATTTTCTTACTAAAGAAACAGACACTTTACGCATGCTTAAAGGTGTACTTAAAGGTCGACTGACTCAAAACATCTTTTGTACCACAGGCTTTACAGGGATGAATTGCGAAACCAACATGGACGACTGCGTCCCGGACCCGTGTCAGAACGGAGCGCAGTGCGAGGACCAGGTCAACGATTACGTCTGCCACTGCCTCCCAGGGTTCACTGGGAAGGACTGTCAGACCAACATCGACGACTGTCTGGCCGGGATCTGCCAACATGGAGCCACCTGTGTGGATCTGGTGGATGAGTAAGTTCTGTTTTTGGCAATGCCTCAGGGGTGGAGGCATATTGTGTGACTGATCGATGACTGTGATTAGTCTACATGTACAATCATTGGCCATGTGGTCCTAATATGTAGAGGTGGTGAAAATTCTACAAGTTTTACTTTATTACTCATTCTGCAAGCTATTACAAGTACTAGCTGTATTACATTTTGTACATGCAGCCTATCAATATAATATTATTTTCTGTGACTGATTGATGACTGTGATTAGTGTACATGTACAATCAAACTTGTCTAAGACAACCACCCAGGGGACTGAGGAAAAGTGGTCTTCTTAGACAAGTGGTCTTTTTGATACAACAAAAAATCAGGGCAACAAGACTTTAAATTTTATTACCGCAACTGTTACAAAATTTCCATCCATTTTACAATTGATTCCTCCATTGATCCGAAGTGACCCATCTGGCACAATTTTATATTAAGCAAAGACCGCCATGCTGTCAAAATCAATGCCACATCCATCACGATTTCTCACTATTTATCATTAAAAAATGCTACTTGAAAATTAAGCGGTCATCATAGGCAGTGATTGGACCATATGCGGTCCCAAATAGTGCTTGTTGCAGTTGCTATAATCATATTCTGACTTTTTTCAGCTACAACTGCACCTGTGCACCTGGCTATACTGGAAAGAACTGCAGTGAAGAAATCGACGAGTGTGCCTCATCACCCTGTGAGAATGGAGCCACATGCAGAGATCTGATTGGTCAATATGAGTGTGGCTGTCTTCCAGGCTATGAAGGTGATTGGTTCATTTTGATCTAATCATTGACAAGTTTAAATCCAAAGTATCTATGTAGCTTTGAGTACTCTATGTTCTTTCATGTTACATGTATTACTATTTTATTGAATTTTTTTGAGGTCATTTAGACTTTCAAAGACCTTTATTCTTCTTTTGCCCCAAGTGCAAATTTTGTATGAAATCTACTAAATTTTGAATTTGTGTTTAAGTAAGAATTAACAGAGCAGACCATATGTGATGGTAAACATTATGCATTTGCTCTGCAAATGTTACCTTTCTAGTTTCGTATAAAAAATTCAATGAATTGTTTCCAACTTTAGGCCAGAACTGTGCAGCAGAGGTGGATGAGTGCAGCAGCGCCCCATGTACCAACGGTGCGACCTGCAGTGACCTGCTGAATGGCTACAACTGCACCTGTGCTGCCGGGTTCACTGGTGCTGACTGTCAGGTCAACATAGATGACTGTGTGCCAGATCCATGTGTCAATGGAGTGTAAGTTACTTCTTTCTTCTTTCATTTTGAGGCAGCCGCCTTCAACTAGCTGCTGCCTTTTTGTGGCTAATATCAAATGGTGTTCGCCAGGCATCCACTTGGGAAAGTGCCTTTCCCAAGGGCAGAAGATCGGTGACATGGCAGGATTCGAACCCGGGACCTCTTGCTTCCCAGCCAAACAACCCATTTTATTCAACTTTCACTCAAAACTGCAAAAAAAGTGGTCACTATAGATAGGATTCTTACTATTTGTGTCAAGTTAAAAAAATTAACTAAGGAACCACCAAAAAGTGATCACATTGGCCACATGGTCCTTGTGTAGAGATGGTGACAAATTGAAGGGTTTGACTTTATTACTCATTCTGCAAATAACTAATTACATGTAGCTGTATTACATGTAGCCTATCAATATTATAAGAGTTTTCTTGTAACCATGTTTTGAAAAATCAGTGAATATTAGTTTTTCATATGATTAGAAATTAATCAGTTGAATGATTTGTATTGAAATTCATTGTCTTTTCCTGTGCAGTTGTCAGGATGCGGTGAATTCCTACAACTGCATCTGCAACCCTGGCTGGACTGGACAGAACTGCACTGTTGACATTGACGAGTGTTCCAACAGTCCTTGTCAAAATGGTGGCACCTGTACCGACTTAGTCAATGGCTTCACCTGTGCCTGTTCACCTGGATACACAGGTGACATACCATTTAGAATCTGTGAATTTTAAAATGTAATAGCTAATTTGAAAGAAAGTTTGCTACAGTAACTGTAACCAAGATAACCATTGAGGTTCTGAATTAATTACAATCATGGAGTTGCTTGAAGTTAATTCATCTATTCCATCTTTGACAGGCCCCAACTGCACATTTGACATCAATGTCTGTGAGGCTTCTGGCTTCTCCCAGTGTCAGAATGGTGGTTCCTGTGTGGATGGACCTGGGAATAACTTCACCTGCAGGTATTTGTACTAACATCGATGACATTCTGTACTAACTGGAGCATATTTGTCTATGTTTTTGTCTCCTTACACTTTTTTTTAAATAAACAGAAAAGTTCATCTGTGTTGGTAAAAGTCATATTAAACAGGTTCAAACTGTAATTTAGAACACAAAACAGTGGGTACAGATCAAAACTGTTTCAGAATATTTCAGTATTTTTGTAAACCACCATACATCCCCCCTTCCCTCCCCAGTTGCCCACCAGGCTATGCCGGTCCGTACTGTGATGTGGATGTGGATGAGTGTAACTCTGACCCGTGTCAGAACAGTGCCACCTGTCAGGACCTCATCAATGGCTTCAACTGCAACTGTACAACAGGTAGGACCACTCAGAAGTCACTAAAAATCAGAGAAGAAACAGCTACATTCCCAGATGTTTCTAAGGCCAAGTGATGTTTATCCCTTGTCTTTACTAACTTAAAGACTCAATTGTCTTTTAGTGTGTTTAAGTACCCACTGTATGTTTTATAGTTCATTAGATTTTGCTGCCTATATTTTTGTCTTTTCTTTGATAATTCAGTCTAGTAAGAATACTGCTACAACTATGGAATAATGGCTTCTGTTGTGGCTTATAAGTCCTCAGTATGCACCACTGTAATATGTCTAACAGCTAGTTTTCTTCCTTCAGGTTGGACAGGAGACACCTGTGCAGAAGATATTGATGAGTGTAGCTCTGACCCCTGTCAAAACAATGGAGTGTGCCAACAGCAGGCCCCAGGGTTGGGTTACATCTGCTTCTGTCCTCCGGGCATCCAGGGCGACAACTGCGAAGTCAACTTCGACGACTGCTTCAGCGATCCATGTCAAAATTTTGCCACCTGCATCGACGAGGTCAATGGATACACCTGCAGCTGTGCACCTGGCTACAATGGGACTCACTGTGAGATCGACATCGACGAATGCAGCAGCTCCCCCTGCCAGAATGGAGCAAACTGCACCCAGCCTTACCCGGGGGTCTACGAGTGTGTGTGTTTGGAGGGATTTGCTGGAACGAACTGCGAACACAACGACACCTGTATTAACCACTCGTGCCAAAACGGGGCGACCTGCGTGGCCAACCCGACCAACTACACATGCGTGTGTGCGCCCGGATTCGCGGGAACATTGTGTGACATCATCATAACCACGACAACACCAGGTACCGGCACTGCAGTGTGGATCAGTAGTAGCACCGGTAGTGTAGATAAAATTAGCACGCTATTCAGCACCGACATAACACCGGTTGATGTGACTATGAGTGTGACTACACTTCTAACCCCATCAAGCGTTCCTCTTCCAGCGAGTACAGACATTTTACTAACATCACCAATCTCTGTAGCAACAGAAATATCAACGGAGCAGTCATTCTTGACAATATCACCTTCTGTTACCACCTTATCATCAATAACAACAAACCCGACATCCGCACCACCAAATAACGTCCTCTCCACCACTCTCACTGCAACATCCAACCCAGCAGCTTCTGTAGAACAGTCTGTTACCATGGCAACCCAACCTGTCGCCATAGCAACAAGCTTGCAGCCTACCACCCCACAACCCACCACTATCAACTTACAGCTGACTACCACCCCACCACTGCAGCTAACACAAGCTCTCAACTCATCTGGCATGCAAACTACGGTCCTGTCAACTGTTGTAGACTCTTCAGTGAACAGTGATTGGTCCTTAGACTTAATACAATTAACAAGTACCTCTGGAACTGGCCAATCAACTTTGCCTATTTCACCAACTGGTACTACACTGCTTTCTGGGTTGTCGAGCAGTGACAGTACTCTAACACTTTCAAGTTCTGCTGCAAGCACACCAACTAACACACCACAGTTGAGTTTGCCTGTGTTTGTTACTACTAATTTGGGCACAACAGTTGTAGACAGTTCCCCTGCACCCTCTCTCACTACGGAGCACAGCGGTTTGGTTCTTTCTCCAACTCCAGTTTTTGTTTCGTCTTCAGCGTCACCGCCGCCATCTTCCACGCACATCACCATGGCAACCACCACGGGATTTCCGCTCACGTCGTCCACAACACCTACACAACAAACGACAAACCTTCCCGCTTCAGAAAGTACGGGAACATTGACAATGATCACACAAACTGATATCATACCAACACCAACACTAACCTCTCTGAGAAGTGTGGTGTCAACGACCTCAACATTGTCTCAGGCAATGTCCCCTCAAACCACAACAGCAACAACAACAACATCCACACTACCAAGGACAGATACCACAATGTTGATGTCACCTACCAAAGTTTTTCCTTCAACAGCGACCTTCGCAACTAGCCAAGATACTACTACGATAAGTCAGGTGCCAAGTGTTGCACCTGAAACAACAACATTCACACCCGAAGCCATGAGCACATTTGTGGCAGACACAACTCCTATTAGTAACTTGGTTAGCTCAACACTGAGTGAGATTCTCCAACCTTCGCCAAGTGTGGAACCTGTCGGTTCCACCAGTGAGGTAGTAATTCAAACTTCAGATGGTCTACCCTCTAGTGCTGTTACAAGTCTTGGCCTTCAAAGCACCACTGAACAGTTCACCACCACAGTCACCCCTATGTCATTGTCACAGGAAAGTATGACAATTTTTACAATCTCAACTAGTGAAACAAGTCCACGGGCATCCCCAGCTGTCACTTCTACTAGCTCAGAAGTTGTGTCCAGTGGTTTTGTGACAGAAAGTCAGCTGCTGTCAACTCCAATGCTGTCCTCAAGGGCATCAACAGTGATAGAAACATCCGACAGTACAATACAGCTCAGTACAGTTGACTCAACTATCTATCCAACAAGTACAACAGCAATGATATCAACTTCTACAACAGTCCCTTCTAGCGAAGTAGTATCCGTTACTGTTGATGCGTCAATTTCCGTTTCCCCTTCATTGCTACAACCAAGCCCGTCATCATTTGGATCAGTTCTGACTTCTCGGACAATGTTTGAACCTTCAAGTTCTACAGTTGGACATTTCACCCCTTCCCTTGTCGTATCTCCAACAGAAGTCACAGTTGAAACTTCATCAAGTGAACAGAGTATGACATCCATTCCAGTATCGACTGCAGTAACGTCTAGTGTATTACTGCCAACAAGAACTGTACCAGTTTCTGTAACTTACACACCATCAGCTTCAATGTTCTCTGATGCTACTTCAGTGGTGGCCGAGACAACACAGATATTTTCAGATCTTTCCATAGATATGACTGAAACAGTTTTAGAAACCATCACTCCCTCCACAGTTTTTGAAAGTTCTGTTGTTTCGACCAGCCTACCTGCCAGTTTGAGTAGTTTGGTGTCTCCAGCAATGGCAATAAGCTCAGTATTATCTTCTTTGCCAACTGGGGTTACTACTGTTGCTCAGAGTTCAAAATCGTCTGGTCAACTTGAGTCTACTACTGCAGAAAGTTTGTTCCCATCCACAGAAACACTTTCTGTATTAACACCTACCTTTACCAGTCAATTTTCAACTTATGAATCAGTCGTATTGACTCAGTCGTCAACAATGGTATTACCAGAATCAGCCACTACTGTAACACAACTGCCATCATTGACAGATACACTGTCTCCAATACAGCCTACTTTCACCAGTTCTATGATACAATTGTCGACTCCCCAACCCACCATTTTCCCTGAGCCCACTACAATTATAATGGCTTCTACACAAACGGAAATTAGCACGGAACTGATAACATCATTAGCTTCAGAATCAGTCACTACACAACTGCCATCATTGACAGGAACGCTCTCTACAATGCCTCCTACTTCAACCAGTCCCATACTACAGTTGTCAACCTCTCAGCCCACCATTTTGTCTCAGCCCACTACAATTATAATGGCCTCTACTCAAACACAGATTACAACAGAACTTATTACATCTGTAGCTTCAGAATCAGACCATATCTCTGTAATACCATCGTCAACAGTCTTGGTCACTCCTGGACCCGCAACAAGTGCTGTTGTGGCCAGTATACCATCAACTTTTCCTACTGCAACGTCAGTTTCTTCAACAATGACTGTTCCTCCGGAAATGTCTAGTTCAATGGAAATACTGGAAACAACAACTGAAGTCTTGTCAACAACACTTCAGCTGCTGCCCTCCCCAAGTTCTGTTGTTGCTGGTTCTTCAGCAAGTGTTGGAACAGTTGAATCTACCCGTTCAATGATAACTGCAGAAGAAACTGTGATTGAAACATCAACTCTTACAGTTGAACCATCAATGCAGACATCGATAGAAGTGAGCTCACAACAGCAGAGCGTTCTGTCCGAAATCCAAGCGACTTCAACAATAGTACAATCGCTGTTTCCTTCTCCAACGTTTCTTACCCAAACTCTGCCAAGCCTGTCGACAACATCATTGCCACAAGTGTCAAGGTCAAGTATTCTCCAGGAGTCCCCGTTTCCAAGTTCACAGGCAACATCTCTTCAAACAGTGTTTCCTACGAGTACTTTTACCCAAGAACTCACACCAGCAATGACGTCCACATTTGGAAGTTTGCCAGGAAGTCCTTCTAGCACCCCCACAGGTATGGAAACCTTTACAACCTCCTAGAGTAGCGCAACCAGTGGACAACCTACTGTTGCTGTATCCCCACCCTCCATGACTGTCCCAACTGTTGTTCAGTGTGTCTTCCTTTTTTCCGATAACATTTTGTCCGTCATTCCCAGCTTAACACAGAGTGGTGTGTCATCTAATCTGTTCATGTCAACATGATATCATTCTCCTGTTTCTAACAGCATGCATGGCTCTGCTGCAAGCTTGCTGCCTTCTTTTCAAACAATTATAGCCTGGTTTCCAGACATATTATAGCTATTTACAGAGAGGATGTAGGACTCGGGAGCAACCAGGCTATAACAATTATGCAACAATCAGTATCACAAATTTCAAGCAATCTTGTATCAAAATCATTTCAAAAACCATTTTCAAACATTTTGAATTACAATGTATATGTATCTAACACAAAAAGCTCAATCATAAATTTTTCTTTCTGAGTAACTTGTCCCCAAGTCATCTAAAAACCACTGGAGAATGGATGAGTTTGTGGAGTACAGTTTTTGTAACTGGTCTCATGCCAGTTGCATCAACTCAAAACACAAGAACAAGGAGCTGAACACCAATCAGAAATGGCGATACAAATGACAAGCTCACAGGATCGTGCCTTATCATTGGTCAGGACAGAAGTTCTTTCCAGCCAGGACAACTCAATAATCAAGAAAAAGGCTTTACATTGAGCTGACAATGAGGAGGAAAGAAAGATATGAGTTTTTGACAGATTTTTCAATGATGTCACAAACCCACACTGATAGCTACATTTTTGTACCACACCATGAGCATTTTTCAGATGAAATCTTCAGAAATTTTGCTGTAAAGCAGCCCATTTCATTATCAGGAACACCAGAACTAGATATGACAAGGAAAGGTTCCGGAAATCTTTCAGGACTTTTTGATGTACATGAGAATGGTGCTGTCCTTAGTGCTGAATTCATGGTGGTCACAACTGACATGTGGGAAAACACCCTATACTGAACAGTTCATGATATCAGACATAAAACAGAGCATGTTTACAACAGATTCCAACAGCCTGTATTTCTTTTCAAGGATTTACTGATACAGAAAACATATTAGACATTGCATCAAGAGCAAATGCAACAAAGTGCATCCATTGGAAATCCATTTGTTCTTTCAACAGTTGAACATGGTGTCTTTGCTTCAGATTTTTCAACCATGGTACAAACAAATGGAATTGAAACATTGCTGCTAATGCCATCTTCTTGCCTACTGCATCCAACAATTTCAGTTCACTGTTTTTCGGTTACTACATGTACTTTTTTACTGTAAACTCACAACATGGACTGAAATACCTCTAGACATCCAGATTCAAACTCACCTCTTGCAAATGACCTCTCAGTCATTTACATGGTGATTATATATATTGCAATATATAGTCTTCGGTCATTTGTGGAAATGCATATTTCACACTTCATTCATCTCAACTAAAGGAATACTAGTAAGGACTTCAAGAGGTATGTTATGTATCTGTATAAGCATGACTCAAGCATGTTTTGTAGCAAGGTACAAAACTATATACTTGTATTCTAACCATCTTTGTTCATTCCTCTGCAATCTTCCCTTTTCATTACATGTTGATGCTGTCTTGTTCCATTTTACCAACATTTTGCTTATGGGGCAGTCAACAACATTCTAGTGTGATAGCCAAATTTTGAAATGTTGCAGAAAGTGCATTTGAATGTTACGTCATAAAAACTATTACAAAAACTTTTATTTGATGTGAATATTGTTGACTGTCCAGCTTTTTGTCAAATGTACTTAATCTTCTACTAAATGAATGTGATTCTATGCTATGTGCTTTAACCATACTTACTATGCATGTTTGTACCCCTTGTATTGTACTGTGATGCATGCAATGCGCAATGTTATCCACTGTATGAAATGTAGTAGACAATTCTAAATAATCATAATGTTATTGTACAGATTCTGATATTTTCAATACAATACACAACTTTTGTTGAAATACAACTAGCCTGAATGTTACCAAAGTAAAGACCTACAATTTCTCATTGATTTTTAAATGTACACAAATATTACCTCAAAGAAAAGTTATTTTTATTCTTATTTTGTAACATTTGTTATTGTATGCTGTTCAGTTTTTTTTAATCATTACTTTCTTGCATGTGTACAGATTTTTCTCAATCTTTTTTTAAATTGTGGAACTTCTAGAAATTTATTCTAGGCACCTTCAATGAGACTGGGCCTTTTTTCACCTATTAAAGTCAATTTTTGTTTCACTTCCAGTGACAACACTAACCCCCACCCCAGTGCCAACCCCCACCCCCACCCCTACCCCCGTGTACACGTGTCAGGACGACCCTTGTCAGAACGGGGCTACCTGTGTTGAAGAGGACATAAACGGACAGACGGTTGCACGCTGTGAATGTACCTGGTGGTACACTGGACCAGTCTGCGACTCAGGTCAGAAAAATCATATTCAACATTTCTCATCTTGTATCATATCATCTATAGCAAACTTAAATCAGCTTCTTTTTTCCACCTCCATTGTGTCTTTATTAAACAACAGCACTATTTGTAGGAGTTTTTATGTTTTTCTGAATTTGTCCGTACATGTACCTGAGGGATACTTTCTTTAGCAAATCTCTTTGAGCCACTGTATTTTTAAATGGCAGGATTAAGATTGTATTCTGTGCTTTACTTGTCTATGGAACCTATTGTTTTCCTTATTTTGTGCTTTAAGTATTTCCCACATTATTGTAGCTGTTTTCTTGGCCAGATTTTAAATTTCACAAGACAAAAGTTATAAAACATCTGAAGAAATAAATGTTGTTATTTTGCAGTAAGAGTGGTGACTCCTAAGTTCCTGGCCAACTCATACCTGGAGTTCCCTTCGTACACGGTCAGAGAGAATAACAGCATCCAGGTGACCTTCCGTACGGCCCACCAGAACGGAACACTTCTGTACGCGGTACAGGACTACCGAGCACCACAGCGGAACGCTTATTTCATCCACTTGTATGTGGAGAATGGAGTTCTCTATGTGAGTGACTTAATACCCTTGCTACAGTCTTTTCAGACTGACTGACAGTAGTAGTTACTGTAGTGGTAGAAGTAGTAGTGTTAGTAGTAGTAGTAGTAGTAGTAGTAGTAGTGTTAGTAGTAGTAGTAGTAGTAGTAGTAGTAGTGTTAGTAGTAGTAGTAGTAGTAGTAGTAGTAGTAGCAGTAGTCATAGTTTTATTAGCAGTTATGGTAGTAGTAGTAGTGTAGTACATGTAGTAGTAGTAGTAGTAGTAGTAGTTGTAATGCTACCAGTATCTCCATTTACAGAGGTTTTCTTTCCAGTGACTTTTGTGTTTCTGTAGTTGGGGACACTGACAGGAAGTTAACTCAAAGGTCCCAGAAAAGTTTATCTCATTTCCTGTTTTCAATTTCCTGCTATATGCAATATAGAGAGTAAAGAAACTCTTTTTTACACAACCAAGTTTTTTATTCAGCCAACATTTCGGTGACCGTCTGTCACCTTCCTCAGGGCAATTCTGACTGGTTCACATTGCACTGCAGCACAGGTGTCGCTGCTATAGATGCATTAACAATATATATGTATGCCCTGAGGAAGGTCGGCTGAATAAAAGACTTGGTTGTGTAAAGAGTCTTTTTACTCAGTGTCTTACCAACCTGATGAAACTATCCATGTATATGCAATATACATGAATGTACTTGAAAGCAAAATCAGCAAGAAATTCACATTAGTTTACAAGTTCACAGGAATTCTAGATACTTCACGGATCTGTGAAATATTTGATTGGTAAAAAATTGCATTATTTTGTTTTTTCTCTTTAATTTGATTGAAGCACTATGTAGCAGATGTATTTCAAGAGACAAACTTTTTGAATTCTACAGTACCATTTTTCCTGTTGGATTGAGCGCTTCACTGTGGATACCAACACTCTAGTCAACCACGGCAATGAAGTCTCTGTCATCATTGAGTAAGTGTTAAAAGCATTTAATTTTTGATATTCTTTAAAAGATTGCTAAAATCACACACTCACTCACTATCCAGTTTATCATTTTAAATATACATGTACCATGATAGAAAATGGAATTCAGCACTAAGGACAGGTCCATTCTCAGATGTATTGGAGAAATTGCTACTGTAACATTGTTATTAATGACAACTGAAACAAAAAATCATAAAGAAGTTAAAATTTCTTGCAGATCTTGTGGTGAATATTGCTATTCTTATGCAGAGTTATATTAACCATAATCATAATTACTATTCTGCCCACTCCAGGCACATCACCAGCCCTGGTTGCCAAGCGACAGTAACCATTGACAACGGCACTCCAGTCCAAGCTGGTTGGCCGACATCCTTGCTCGACAACGTTGGCGATCAGATGGGCCCCGTGTACATGGGCGGAGTCCCGCCAACCTTTGACCCCCTGCTGGCCAGTCTACCCGTCTACGACTTTCAGGGATGTGTCTCGGAGCTGACGATTAACGCCCTCCCGTACAACTTCCTTTATTCGGTTGGCGGAGAAAACGTGGAAGAGTGTGACGTGCTCCCCACCCCTCCCCCGGGGCCGACCAACCCCCCGCCGCCCACGTGCAGCGAGACGCGGTGTGAAAACGGCGGGACGTGTCGTGATGTCACCACGGGAGGGGTGCTGCAGTATGAGTGCGACTGTCCACTGCACTTTACCGGGGACAGGTGTGAGGAAGGTGAGTTTGTTTGTTTGTTTGTTTGTTTGTTTGTTCATTTGGGCCTTTGTAGGGGTCCTTCCTACTGGGAGTGGTTCAAACAGATGTGAGGAGGGTGGGTCTGTTTGTTTTTTGTTTGTTTGTTTGTTTGTTTCTATGGGCCTTTGTAGAGGTCCTTCTTGGTCTGAGTGGTTCAAACCTTACAGTCCTATTGCAATTAAGTCCCACCAGTTGTAAGTTCCTCACAATTCAGCCCTTTGCTGCAAGGAAGAGTAGCCAGTCAACACAATAACAGTTTGTCATTGAATAGTTACTGTAGCTTATACTCCCCTAAGTTTACATAAATATAACAGTCTATATACAATGCATCTGGTAATAGTTGTAGGAGTTTAAGGAAAAATATTGTATCAACATTTAATTCTAAGCACATGAATTTCCAAAAAGCGACATGAGCGTTATTTGGTTGAATTCCTTGAATGTTTCAATTGTTTCCTTGGCTACCATTATTGCTCCAAAATAAGTTTTGCTAACTTGATTTCTATCCTTTTTTCAGATCTAGTTGTGTATTTCCCATCCTTCTCTGGGAACACTTACCTACAGTACTCATCCCTGGACCTGACTCAGCAGTACACAAACAACATCGTCGTTATGTTTAAAACTACCACCACGGAGGCCACCATTTTGTATGCAGCAGAGGATGGTGGGATTGCTAACGCTGTGGGTGCCAACAGTAATGCAGAATTTGTTCACCTGTACATTGAAGGTGGAACTTTGTGGTACAGGTAAGAGTTTTGTGATTTCTTTAACACTTTTTTTATAAAGAATGTCATTTAGCAACAAATTTGTAATGGTCATGAGGCTTGACAGTAGAAAGAATGTTACTATTTCCAACTCTGGTCAAAAGAACATCTCTATATTATTTACAGACAACAGTACATGGTGCTGATAAGTGTTTCTTTGATATGTTTGCATGGCAGTGTATGAAGTTTCAACCTATTTCTTTTTTTAATGTTTTATCACAGGTTTAGCTGTGGAGGAGGCACAGTACTTAGCCTAAGCACAGACATCACAGTTAATAATGACTTCATGACTTCAGTTGTTATCCAGTAAGTACTTTCAAATTGTTGCTTTCAGCCTAGTATCATTTGAAATCGTAAAATAATCATACCACAAATGGTCTGATATTTGTAGATGTGTCCATATGAGAGAGTGCCTTAGTAGAAAAGTGTGTACCGTCTGTCAATTGCAAGTCAATAGATACAAAGGTCTCTAAAAGTAATTTCAACCTTGGGACTAAACTCACACTGGGAAGGGCTCTGTTTGCTAAGTGTGGTAGTGTGTTAAACATGCTTGAGGTGTGACTGTCCTCAAGCACTGGACCTAATGTTACATTTTTATGTCCAATTTGAGAGGACGTCCCTGACTGAAGCTTCAAGATTAATCTATAACTTTGACACGATTTTTGTCCTCACCAGACAAAGCCGACCTCGCCCTATCGGTAACACCATCCGCGGCATGTGCAGTGCGTCTGTACAGGTGAACAGCTCAGCACCTGTTTCTAACGAGGTCAGGACTTACTTTGCACAGAAACCCTTCGGACCCCTCTACCTGGGAGGTCTGCCCTCAGACCTGACAGCAGTCACACAAGCAGGTGAGTGATGATTGGCAGTTATTTTTTAAAAGTGGCAATTATTTTTGAAAAGCAGCAGCTAATTTAAAAACGTGGCAGTTGTTTTCAAAAAGTGGCAGTTATTTTCAAAAGTGGCAATTTTTTTTCAAAAAGTGACAGTCCTCTTAAAAAAAGGCAGTTATTTTCAAAAAGCAGGAGTTGCTTTTAAAAAGTGGTAACTATTTTCAAAAAGAGGCAGCAGGATATGTCTTCAGATTTTTTCTTTAATATATAGTTAATGTCATATTTTGATAATGAAGAATGTTTTACATATATGTTGAATATTTGCAGTGTTCCCTCCTACAATGATTACCAGTAAGTAAAGATCTGAAACCAGCAATGGTGAAGTTTTATTCAATGAGTTGGAGGGACATTCAAAACAGCTTAAAATGTTAAAGATATTGAAAGGACTTCTGTAATACTTATTGAATACCAAACATAAAAAAATGTCTTTTGTAATACATTTGAGAATAAAATCATATTTTGGTGTGGCCTAATAAATCCTTTTTTTGTTTGTTTTTGTTTTCCACTTTCAAGGACCTGTGGTGAATTTTGAGGGGTGCATCGGAGCCCTACAGGTCAACGACCTTGAGTATGACCTGTTCAGTGATGCGGTGGATGGAGAGAATGTGGGAGACTGTGTGGCTCATTCCATCTGTCAGTTCATCCCCTGCAGGAACAACGGAACCTGTAGACTGTAAGACAATTTGTGAAATCATTTTAGAAGGTTCTTTGTTATACATGTACTTGATTTTAGTGTTGTTTCTTTATTCTGGGTCCCATTGAAAATCAAATGGTCTACCCAGCTATCTGAAGATTCAATTACAGACTGTAATACAAAAATAAATAAACAACCAGTGGGTTTTCTCATCTAGCGTTTTGGTTGAAAAAATATTATTTATTATAGTAAAAGAAAACCGTCTTAGTCTCTTGCCAAAGATGCTTACCCGGTAGAACCACATATCTGAAATGTCCTTGGTACTGATTGGCTATCACTCATCACACCCCTCATACTGATTGGCTACTTCAAATTTGTAACTTTATTCTGAACAATGTTAATCCTAAACAGTAATGTTTTAATTCTTTCCAATGTGCCAAAAATGGTTAGTACCAATCTAATACCTCCTTGGTGCTGATTGGCCATCACTCATCACACCTCAGATACTGAATGGCTATATAAGATTCGAACACTGACAATCCGAAACAGCAATTTTAACTTACTATTCTTTCCAAATGTACCAAAAGTGGTGAGTACCAATCTAATATGTCCTTGGTGCTGATTGGCTATCACTTGCCATTTCCCTAATGCTGATTGGCTGGTTTGTCTCCCTATTTCTTACACAGTTCATCCTATTAAAACAGTTAAATATCAGTATAACCATTTTTCCAGGGATGCGGATGGTCAGTATTTCTGTGACTGTCCTAAGAACGGGACGAACCACCCGCTGTACAGTGGGGAACTTTGTGAGAGGGACGTGTGTTCAGCAAACCCGTGTGGCCATGGCGCGACCTGTCTCCCACAGACTGATGGGAGAGTTGTTTGTTTGTGTCCGTACGGCAGGGGAGGGATCACTTGTGAAGATGGTAAGTGGTTGTTTGTTTGTTTGTTTTGAATATTACCATGAAACTGACTTAAGTCATAACACAACTGTTACAGCTTTGTACTGTTAGTACAACCTGTATATGACCATATAGTTTGATCCACTAACAAGTTTGCAACTATTGGAATTTTTTTTTACAACTTCTGTCTATTTTAGTTTCTCAAATTAAAGTTAGCTTGTGGATGTATATGATATCTTCATTCAGATGTATGTTTTGTGCAAAGGTGTCTGTTATTTACACCAAAGCTTACTTATTGTCCACATAAATGCATTGTAACTTAGGCACAAAAATCTCAGTCAGTTGCTGTTACATTAGTGCTGATTGGCTGTAATGTCCTTTGTACTGATTGGTCATCACTTATCATACCCTATCATACCACATGCTGATTGGCTATTCTAAGCACCGGTATAATACAGGATCTTTTGAAACTGACTGTTGGTCACTGCATCATTGATGCATACATTCAAATGGAACAATAAAGTAACTACAATTAAACCTGCTTAGTTCAAAATGCTTGTACCATGTAGTACATTTGTACATACTCTCAGATTGACTGTTGTTTCTGTTTTCCCCAGAATTGAACATAACTCGTGCAGCCTTCACCGGGGTGCATTATGGGTACAGTTCCTACATTGCCTACCCACAAGTCCTTGGGCTTAACTTCTTCTTTGAAGTCCGCTTCAGTTTCACTCTGGCCAACAACGACTCAGCTCTGACCAGTTCCCTCGTACTTTACACCGGACAAGCAAGTAAGTCAAAATAAATATTTCCCACGCCTTTGGTGTATAAGGCAGAGCCTATCTCTATTTCTATAGCCCTTGGGTCACGCAGTAGTGGGCTAGCCCAGTGTAGTTGTGCTAAATCTTAAATTAAATCTGACAGTGTGTTGTTGTCTTATTCCTTCTTCCATGTTTCTCCTGAATGACTAAAAAATCATCTTTGCTTCTTGCAGACCAAGTTCCAGGCTGGGGTGACGACTACCTTGCTTTGGGCATAGAGAACGGACATGTAGTCTTTACATTCGACCTTGGATCAGGTACTGAGACACAATTTATAAATTCATAGTAAGGTAATCTGTTAAATCTGCCCAACACTGTAGATTTGAGTAACTTTTGATCTCCCAATGCAATAGATAATACAACACCTTACCTTATATATAGTAACAGATGAACACAATGCAACAGTAAGATTTCTACGTGTGTAGATAATCTATTTTAGCTGTCAATCTTTATGTGAAATATACATCCTTTATACATCCGTTTCTGATTGGTCAGGTCCTGCCTACATCAGAAGCCCCTCCCCCCTGGACTTGACCTTGCCCTATCACACAGTGACCTTGGGACGGGAGAGAAAGGTCGGCTGGTTGTTGGTGGACAACACAGTCAACGTCACAGGCGAAGCACAGGTACTTGTACATTATAATCATACATACTGATATTTATCATATATACTATAAACAAAACTATTAGACAAAATTGTGGAGTGTTTTCTATAATAAACTTTAGGGATTTTTATCTGATTGGCATTCTTGTAATATTCTGGCCTGGAACCTGTGTAAGCTATTATTTATTTTTTGTTGGGTACAAAATGACCTCCATTTCTATACATACTGCAAAACTAAGGAAGAAATTTTAGTTTAAAGAAAAGCTGTATCACAAGCAAAATTCTGAAATGATTTATTCTTTACACTTCTGTAGCAAGTACTTAAGACACATGCATTATAAAGTAATTACTGTACTACTGGATATGATACAGAGCTTTTTGGAAGTTTTCTCTGTATTTTATCTAGTAAAAGTTTGGGAATTTGATTTATTTATAACTATTTAATTGTTTACCTGGAAGTCTAAACTTCATCAACTCACCTAAAATGTGTTTTGTACAGGGTGATTTGATAGGTTTGAACCTGGCCCAGGGAGAAGAGTTGTTTGTGGGTGGATACGACATGTTCCAACTGTCACTAATGCCCAACTCTGTCAACTTCACATCAGGATTCCAAGGTAAGAAATGACTTACTTTTTTTCATACTACCAAGTGTTTTATTCAGCCAAGTTTTGGAGACCTTCTGTCACAATCCTTTAGAGCAATTCTGACGTTGAGTTGGTTGAATGAATTACACATGTTTGCGAAGGGTATTTTTATTCAGTGACTTACCAACCTAATGAAACTATGGATCTCTGATGCCTTGTCTTCTGTTGCCCAGGGTGTATCTATGACATGGAGGTTCGGACTCACGAGTCTGATGCGTGGCGGACCATGGGTCACGTGGATTCTGGACGGATGGTCGGGCAGTGTTCCGTGTCGGAATGTACACTGAACACTTGCCATAACGGTGGCACCTGCAGGGACATCGGGGCTTCTTTCAGGTTGATTTTTTACATTCACTATTTAATTTTTTTGTCTTCTTTGTCCATTGCATCAAGCTTATATGAGGATAGCATGATTGTGTACTTTGTATGTATGCATCGCAGTATTATTAATTTGATGTACAATGTAATTAGGTTGAAAGTATTAGATATTACTTATATCAAATCCAAAAAGGATAGGCAGATTGCATGCGGGACCTAACAATACTTCCCAGAAGTCAAAAATCTCTGATTTCTTATTATTTCAGATGTGACTGTCAGCCTGGCTGGAAGGGTCTGTTATGTGCGGAGGTGCAGACGGTGTGTGACACGGCCAACCCGTGTGCTGCGGGGGCCAGCTGTGTACCGCTGGAACAGTCCCACAGGTGTGACTGTCCACTGGGCAGAAATGGGACCAACTGTGAACAGAGTAAGTCTGCTGATTACAAACATATTTTTATAATACAGTGTTCGAAATACCTGTCTGCAGTCTGCAATCTGCAGATAGATTTTCAAGATTGCAGAAGAAAAATTTATACAATCTGCAGTTTTGCAGCAGGAAAAATTGGCACTTGGGATTTGGCGCTTTTGGCCCCAAGGACAGACAACACTTAAGCTCCTGTTCTGAAACAATAGAAGCTTCTTCACTAATTTGCATCATTCTTGTCTTGACTTGTTTATCTTTTGTTTCCTTTTGGACTTCCAAAAATTTGTCTTCACTAATTTGCATATCAATCAATAGTTCATGCTTATAAACCTGCAAGATTGTAAGTATGGAGGCTTGTGTATTTGCAGAAAGTATTTCCAAATTGCAGAACAAAATTTTGACTCTTCTGCAATATTGCAGAGCACTGACAAAAAGTATTTCGACCACTGAATAGTTTGTCAAAATAATGAACCCGACACTAGCCTAGTATGTCCTTGGTGCTGATTGGCCATCATATCATGACACAACTGAGGTTGATTGGTTATTTGTCACCCTGTGTTGAACACAGTGTTAATACTTTGAGCATTTGAGGGATAGGTAATTCTTGCAGCAGTTGTAAGAAATGGAACACACCTAAAGTTGTACTTGTTGAAACATGTTAGATAGCATAGTAAGTAACTAAGCTGTGCAGTGACTTTCCCTGTATTGTGGAAAATTCCATCATGTTTTACCAAAAGTCAAAGAAAGAATGTTTCTTGTTACAGGCATCACCATCAGCGATCCTTCCTTTGGTATGGGAGGTCAGGGGTCAAGTTCGTACATGTCGTTCCCGCGACAGAACCTCCGTGTGGAAACCCGGATCGCGTTAGAGTTCCAACCCAGTGCGCCAAACGGAATCCTGTTCTACGCAGCTCAGAACCTGAACTCCCGCGCCGGGGACTTTATCTCTCTTTCCCTCTTTGATGGTTTTGTCGAGTTTCGCTACAATCTAGGCTTGGAGCCAACAGCCGTTATACGCAGCGCCCAGCGTATAGATACGAGCGGAAACGCGTGGACCCATCTAGAAGCAGGACGGACAGGAAAGGACGGGTATCTGCGAATTGACGGCACGAATGAAGTCACTGGAACAACCAATCAGGCTATGGTTGGGCTGGACATTAGGACGGACTTCTATCTGGGGGGCGTGCCGTACTTGGATCTGGTTGCGAATATGGCGGTGGAAAACGAGCCGTCCGGATTCGTGGGCTGTGTGCGACGACTGGCGGTGAACGGAAGGGAATACGACTTGACAGAAAATGGTGAGATTTTGGTTAATCCAAAAGGACTAAAAAATTAGCAACCCGCTATCAGAACTGGAATCAAAGTAGCATGACTCGGGGCTTAAGGAACCAGCAATTTGCAACAGTACTCTTACTGTAACTGCCATAAATGCACATGTTACATGCCTAACTAAAAAGTCTCACAATGAGCTCTGTGTTAAACAGAACTAATGCTTCATATGATGGATGAAATTAGAATTCCGGTTACTCTATTTTCCCCTGCAGGAGCCACCGAGGGTATGAATGTGGGGGACTGTGATGGGGCAGCGTGTGGCTATAATGTCTGTAAAAACAATGGTGTGTGCCAGGAAATCGGACTCACCGACTTCAGCTGTAACTGTGTTCAGGTACAGTAAAATCACTTGGCTGCGTTTTTCTTCACAAGTCATATACTGGCATAGAATGTACATACGAAGATCATTTATATTGAATAAGTGTCAGTATAACAAACCATGTACTTTGCAATCTTTTTTTATTTCTACAAGCTGGGGTCGTTTGTATAAAATGCTTCTGATGGAAAGTTTTTGGCAATACCTCTAGAACAGACACATTTCTTAGTATTATTGAGATTTCATTTCGTAAAAGCTTCTGTACTTTGCATCTTGAGTTAAGTTCACTAATCAGACTGTATAGAAAAAGATTGGTCCAGAGCCCTAAGCAGCGCCCCAGACCGACTTTGGTCGATGCGTCCGATGTACAGAAGGGGGCGCTGCACCACGGCTCTCTGATAACGAAGGTTTTAATTAAGCGGGACTAGTCCAAAGGGTTGTAGTGAGGTCCGGGACTAGTCCGGGACCAGTGGACCTGCCAGACTAGTCATGTCCCCGACTCCCAGGACCACCTCGGACCGATCTGTGTCTGACAGGACTAGTCCCAACCGTCTGGGACCTGCTAGGACCTGCTGGGACCACCTCGGACTAGTCCACTGAAATTTCCTTTTTACAGAGGTTTTCAGCTCTAAATTTTTCTCTGTCTTTTTATCTTGATGCATGCAGTAAAGGTCTGTGCCAAGCACCAAAGACTACATTAAATTTTTTAGGTCAGGGTTTCCTTTTTGTTAACGTAAATGTTGAGGGTAATGTTTCTCTCATTTCAGCCATATACTGGTGAGACATGTGATGAGGAGGCGGCCTGTGCTAACCACGGTTGCCGTAACAACGCGAGCTGTGTTCCCACACCTGGTGGTCACACCTGTGCCTGTGGACTGGGCTGGGCAGGAGACAACTGCACTGATGGTCAGTTATTTTTGGCCATGCCTCAGGGGCGGAGCATTCATTCTATCTGAGTGTCTGTTAGGTTATTAGATTTTTTTAAAAATATACCATTTGTCTAATTTGTTTGTGCATTAATATATGTAGTGACAGGGTTTTTTTGCTTCACCTTTAGCATACTAAAGTACCTGCTTGTCTACCAGTTCTATGCGTTACAATGCATGATGTCAGGCAGCAGGTTAAAAATGTAATGAAAACAAGGAAAAGGTGTTTAAAACTATTTTTGCAAGGGCCTTTTATTCTTCTTCTTCTTTTATTATTTACAAAAAAGTTATGTTATATGTTACAGAAGATACTGACATATTTTTCCTCCATTTCCAGCACTGACGTTCCAGAGTGCGAGGTTTGAGGGAGACGGGTATATTTTCTACCAGGACCCTGACCACGCCCACAGGAACCCAACTGTCACTCAGCTGTCACTCAACTTCACCTCCACTCAGGGGGAGGGGCTTATTCTGTGGAACGGAAAGGTAGTTCTTTGTCTTTTAAAATGCAGGTATTGTTTATGGTATGTCTGTGGGTGTGTCTGTGTGTGTGTCTGTGTTTCAGCATGGCCCTTAGGTTAGGTTGTAATGGGTATGGTTGGGTTCAGCCCATCCCAGAAGGAGTAAGTCATTAATTGCGTCTACATCTGGTAGCGCTCTGTTTTTACAGGTGTTTGTCATTACATGACCTCCTTGACAGCTATTGTTGTTTCCCTTGCTCGATAAACAATTAGACTTGTAGACACCATGGTGAATGAGAAGAGGACACAGTCACAATCCCACAAGATCTAAATATTTCATGGAGGTCTCAGATCTCTGAATTCTTGTTAAAGAGACTGGTTTTCTTAATGTTGCTGTCTCCATTTTGCTACAATTCAGCTGAATATTGTTTGCATTTGACAGAGTGACACAGATGATGAAGACTACATGGGTCTGGGTGTGAGAGATGGAAAACTACTTTTCAGGTGAGGCTATAGATTTCTCTCCTAATTCTCACTTAATATCTAAAAGTAATTCAGCAATAAAGCTGAGCTGCAGTTTCTAAAAGATGCCTCAGATTTTAGTGTAAATATCCATGGGAAAGCCACTACTGCATCACTTGTATTCTGGGGAACATAATGTTGTATGAAGTAAATGTGTGCTGCCACTGGCTATAGAAACCATGTATAAGGAAACACAGACGTTGTATGAACTACTACAGTGATTCTTACCTTTGTGTGTTCTACAGTATCAACCTGGGGTACCTAGCCAAGGAAACCATCCGGTCAACACCAGATGTGGACGATGGCCAGTGGCACTCAGTCATCATACAGAGGTAGGAACCCCCCACACTGAAATAGACTCTTCCAATCTTGCATTTTGAGGATGCAATTTGCAATTTGTTATTTACTTCTTGCTTATAGTCTGGAAATCCAGACAGTATTCAGTTTCAATGTGCACTATACCAGTGGTAAGGTGAGTCGATCAGAAAGAGACTGATGCCTAGGCTATATTTCGTGTCTTCATCAAGTTTTATATTTTGATTGGCAGGTCGAGAAGTGTGGTGACTATGTACTTGGATGGACAGCCTTTCCCTGCAGTAAACGGCATCGACATAGGGGGAGCTTCTGTGGGGCTCAACACTGGCGGACTGTACCATATAGGTAAATACTAGACTAAGTATAGTTTCATACTAGAAAGACATCTTTTCCATGTGATGGCACTTCAGCACTGCAAAAAATAGGGTTTACGGAAAAACCTGGATGCCTCCCAGGACAGGCCAGGCTACCTGTCCTGGCTAGCATGTCAGGCTACTTGGATCTCCCCATTCATATTTTGGGGAGGTAAAAGGCAGTGGAAGGAGACTGGGATGGGCTCCACCTTTCAATACTATGTTCAGGTACAGCCTTAAAAAGGCTATAGAACGTAGAGACATTTGTAAAAATAATTTCATCAAGTTGGTAGAACATAGGATATTGGGATTCTTCCTACCTTGCTTGCATTTCGGATTGTGTTCTCGCTGCAAAAGCAGCACCTACATCGGCTACATGTAGCAGTGAGAAGCAGAACTCCAGTCAGAAGCTCTGAGAAAGGTGTCTGATAGACATCAAAACGGAAGCAAGGTAGAAAGAATCCCTGGAGAAAATCTCAATATCCTAAGAGATGTTAATGTATTTCCTACTAACTATGATGTCTTATTGTTGCTTGTGTTACAGGTGGATTTGAGCTGGGTACAAATGTGACGGTGTCCACCTTTGGTTTGTACACTGCTGGTCTGACTGGATGTGTGAGAGACGTCATACTTCACAGGGACACATCAGCAGTCAGTCTGGTACAGGCAGACAGAGGAACCAACGTCTACAGCTGCGATGGAAGATGACATTAACCTTCAAGTCTCTGTTTTCTTTTCTCTACGCTGTTTATGAATAAACACATCCAACACAATTTCAGGGCAGCAAAATATATATTCTGGATGGGGAAATTTGTCTGAGCTTGACAGTTATTGCCATTTCTTAGAGTGTTTTTGTCATTTCTCATACTTGAAGTGTATGAATAGTCCAATACAAGCCATGAGATGACTCTCTTTATTTTTGGGTACCACCCATAAATAGCTAAAACCAGCTTACTCAGGGCAGCAAAACAAAAAATATTCTGGATGAGAAAATCTCTCTGATATTGACATTTACTGCCATTTCTTGGCACATTTTTGTCATCGTTTCATACTTGAAGTGTATGAATAGTCCAATACAAGCCATAGGAAGCATCTCTTTATTTTTGGGTACCACCCATAAATAGCTAGAATCAACCATACAAAATACACAACAAGCGTTTTCCGTCAGTGACATCACATTTTTGCCTCACAGATATCAGTATGCTATGGGATAGGATTGATTCAACTTATACATTAGAACAAAATTGACTTTGAAAAAATTAATTTGCTGCCCTGAAATTGCACAGGATGCCTTTAAAAGCAGTTGGATATGCCTTGTGTCATGCCATAATGATGTAACAAAATGATGTAATATTTGTTTTCTATGAATTTCTATGAATGTATAAATTATGCTGATTAGCTCATTGTGTACATACATGTGTAAAAGTCATATGTGCTTTTTTCATATGTGGCCCAAAAGATGTCCTTTTTGATACATGTATCATGCAAATATATGCCATATGTTGTACATAGTGTAGAAGTCACATATGACTTTATCCCTGTCTATAGCCAGGTCAATGAAAGGTTTATAATTATTGAGAAATGATGATGAAATGATTAAAATGGTCTAGCCATATTTGTTTGAATCATAGATATGTAATTGAGGTGTTAGATAATGCAGATTATTGTAATCATCCCATTTTCAAACAGTGGGAATTTTTATTATGAATTAACCCTCAAAAGCTAGACATTCTTTATGTTTGCCCTTTCTTATTTGTTAAAAACCTATGCAGTAAATATCTTTTATTATATTAGGTGTATTTGATAATAAGAAGATAGGTAGGATGCAGATTTTGAGTTTTAACCCTTGCCATATAACAGTAGCCATTTGGCCACTAGTTACTGGGTTAGGCAGCAGGGAGAAGGTTAAAAATGTCAGAATACCACCATTGTAAAGAATATTATGTAGAATATCACATCTATATGTTGCTTGTAGAAATACATATGTTGCACAGATGTAGATATATAGTATATAGAACTTTATTTCAGAGTATTCCTGATTTGTGTATTTTGTTGATTTCATAATTGAAAATTGTATATTTCTTTGTAGAGGTTTTGTCTAATTAAGTGTGTAAAAATATCAAATTTATACTTTTGTAGGAAAGAGTTGCATATTAATACTATTAGTTAAGTAGCTGGTCTACTGAGATTTTCAATTTTTCATTAAAAATTGGCCGTTGAAGACTTTGGATTTATTTTTTTAGTCTTGAACACTCACATGATGCGTTAAAATGCGACGCCCACGTGTCAACCATATTTTCAGGAGTCAACAAAATTTTGGAGAATGCTAAATACGTACATGTACTCTCCAAGCACAGGTTAGGGTTTGGGGTTATTTTGGCGTGTTTTCAGGCTTTTTTTATTGGGATTTCTCTTTTGCACTGGAATTAAAAAAGCCCAAAAACACGCCAAGATAACCCCAAACCTCTGCTTGGAGAGTACTAAATACGGGCCGCCGGTGATCTCCAAGTAGATCATACGGTGGCATGCGCATGCCACCGGTGGCTAATGGACACTCCTATAGCCAATGGATACTGCCTTGCCACCGTATGATCTGCTTGGAGACTAGGGCGCCGACTGTGCCTGCTGTATTACCTGACTGGACCACGGAAAAGTTAGCTCCACATAGTCAATGTGCTACGCAGTCTTACTCTCCAAGCAGAGGTTGTGGGGGAATGATCGTTACCTTTTTATATATCTAATGGCCGTTTTTTTCCTGACCCCGTCGGTGGCCGCGGACCTTCACTGGCTAATGGATACTGCCTGGCCAATTTGATACTGTCTTTTTGCCACCGAGAGGGATCTGCTTGGAGATTAACGCAGTCTATCAAAAGTTTCGGTGGGAGGCGCAAAGACCAGGGATTCTCAGTGGCGCGTTAATAAACAAACAAGTAATTGAGTCTAGGCGTGGCGGGGCGTGCCCGCTAATTTCATGGTGTCAAATCTGGATTGTTGACACGTGCGCCGGGGCGCTCCGGCTCTGCGGGATGCTTGTCCGGAAAAAACAGGCGGTAATCGTAGGCTTCTTTCCCATTCTTTGTGTTATTCCTTTTTCAGCGATTTTGTCTTGGCCAGTCGTCTTAATAATCTTTTTTTGGCCCAGTCGAACGGGGAGGGGACAGTGTTGGTCTGAGATGATCCCTGGTTAGGTGCGATAACCACCGAATAAACCACCAAGTGGGCGTAGCGAAAAGAAACTACGTTTTTATAGATACATACTACAAGTCTTAACACTACCGTGTGTCATGTCCCATGTATAACGTGGGTGTACGGTCCAAAAAGTGGTCGGTTATTAGAATAACCGAACACTTTTGAGGTTATGGCCTGATAACCCATGGAGAATGGAGCCTTCTGATTGGTCAACTTCTGGCTATACGATAAAACGTTTTAAACCTTAACAAAGAAATGCAAATTATGACGATTCATTATCATGTGGTAAGATCACACCGGTGCTCAATCTAACTTATTTACTTAATTGAGAATATGCAAATTTCGGTAATTCCTTATCAGGTGGTATTGCCACGCTGCAGCAAGATGCGTGTGTGCTCGGACAGGGAAGAACTCGTTGGTTAAAATTCGCCTCTTAAGACGAGCTACGTCGGTTTAAGGAGGTGAGTCGCCCTTAACATTGTCCTTTATGTTTTCGTTACTATTTGGGCCGAACTCGTTGCAATAAAATGAAGTGTGTGGCGCAACGGCAGAGCGTTCGGCTTGAAACCATGAGGTCCCCGGTTCGAAGCCCGCCATGCCACCGAATTGTGCTCTTTACACGACTTTCCGGGATTGAGGCTTGGCGAACCCCATCTCGTATTAGCCACAAAAAGGTAGTAGAATCTTCAGCTAGTAACATGAAGGCGGCGGCCTCAAAATGAAAGAAGAAGAAGCTAAAACACAGAATTTCGTGAACTTGCGCCGGTGGCGATTCCCTGTGTTTAAACCTGCACTTAGTAAAGCCGCCACTCGGGAGCGCTTTCTTCATGTCCGCTTCGAACTACAATATAACATGACTATACATTAGATACGCTCGTTTTATTACGTTCGCCAAGAAGGTTATGTTTTCGGAGGCGTTCGTGTGTGTGCGTGTGTGTGTGCCTGTCTGTCTGTCAACAAGATAACTCGAAAAGGCTTATATCAGAGACATTGTACAAGGATAATAATGTCCTTGCTTATATGGATTGTTTGTTATGTGGGTCTTTATAAGGCCTCGAAATGATTAGATTTTAGACTTTCTGGCGGCTTGTTATGGTACTGCAGCAGAAATTCCTGTTATGATATCTCATGATCTGGACATGCTAGGGGCACGAAATTTGGAGGGTAGGTAGCTCTTATGCTGAAGTGATGATGCGCTGAGTTTGGGCCCGCTAGTAGCTTGTTCTGGAACTGCAGGAGCGTTTGTTGAGAAATATATTTGTTGTCCATTAAGACCTCCAGATCATTTTCTTCCTGTTTCCTGAATTTTCCCACAATTTTATGCATTGTGTATGCCATCTTTTTCCACAATTTTATGCATTGTGTATGCCATCTTTTCCACAATTTTATGCATTGTGTATGCCATCTTTTTCCACAATTTTATGCATCGTGTATGCCATCTTTTTCCACAATTTTATGCAATTTGTGTATGCCATCTTTTCCCACAATGTTCTATCAATGAGATATGTTTGAAGAATTTGAATGCTGTTTAGCCTATGTTTGAATAGCATTCTGTGTATGGTCGGTGAATGTTCTGAGGTATTTTATGTGAGATGTACTTCATTTGATTTCTCCATGGTCATGGTATTCTATGTTTACCTGATATACATATGTTGACTTTTGATTGAATGTTGACTGTAAATTTGCTCTTCTCTTCATTTTCCCCACTCAGAATTTGCTCTTGCTGCCGACCCAAAGCAGGTTTTAGCACTCAAATTTTGTGAATATTGCAATGTATGATGATCTGTGAGTAACTAATATATTTCTGCCGTGATCTTTCTAAATGTGTATTTCTTTTACACCCAGGCTTGAGATGCTGCTAATGTATAGCTGACATTGTGGGACCCGTCTCCTGTGTGTGCTGTGGGACCTGTCAGCTATCCTGTATTCTGAAGGACCTGTTACCTATCTACAAGAGAAGAGAACATCGGACTTGACTGTGAGTTGGCTTTTATTTATGAAACTCTTTAAAAAATGGGGTCTGCATGCCGCAATGCGTAATCAGCCGTTTTAAAGGTTTGCATAATGGCAAGTCGGGTCAATCTATTCACCGTTAAACTGTCATCTTTGTGATAAAACGTCCAGCCAGTACAAGTTAACTGTAATACGTGTGGTCGTTGCCTTGCAGCATTCTGCACCTTCTCATTTCAAGTTTGCATAATTTGATGTCGAACAACTCTGATTTAATATTCAATGTAATCTACGTGAAACTAACCTAAACAACTGTAAATCGTGGACGCTGCCTTACAGAATTTAGCACCCAAAGCGCGATCGGGACCCCCCATGCAGACCCTTAAAATGACAATGAAAGATGTTGGGCATTAGGGCATGTTTGCGATCCTCTGAATTTTATATTCTAAACACCATTGTTGAAACTCAGCTTAAGGCCCTCCCTGCTATTCGTTGTCATTTCTGAAAGAGTTCACATTCCTAACTAATACTTAGTTTAAGGTTGTGAGAACTTGTGACTAATCTTTTATTGCGAATATGACGGAGAACACAGTACATTTTCCTATTTAAGAGAGCACTTGTAATGATTGCCTGTTGTTTCATTCTGTATAGCAATGGGATATATTTTCAACAGCATTTGTGACCAAACTGTTTTCCGGAATTTTCCTCTTCATCATGATGCACATCCTGACCCTTTTAAAAACTATTTCTATTTAATATAACAATGAAAGTCTAGGCAGAATAAAAGCATTAAAAATGGAAAAAATGAAGAGACATTTCAATATTATTATGAATTCTAGCTGTTAATGTTTACTGGTGAAGATGTACATGCACAGTCAAGATTTGGCATTTGTTGGTATGACAAAATTTTCAGATTTTTAAAATGATGCTATGATTTGGAACATATGACAGTACAAAATGTAAAATTAACTTTCAAGGAAAGTTCAGAATATTTTTTGAAACTGTATTAT